TAATTACAGTCTCGTTTATAAAAGTCGGAGAGAGACAAACAAACACACACACACACATACACACACATGAGAGAGAGAGAGAGAGAGAGAGAGAGAGAGAGAGAGATTGAAACATACAATAAATGTAGTAGTGGTTTGCTTTTAAACAAATGACCACTAAAAAATAAATCTTAAAATCAAGGGATAGGGCATGCCTGTATGGATGACGTTCGTAAAAAAGAAAAAATGTCCAGATGAAAGCTTTTTTGTCCATCATAGGTGCACAGCGGTAGTTTATCGCTGTTGTTGCAACTGTGTAGGTTTTTTATTTGGAAGACGTCAGCTGATTTAAAAAGACCGTTCACATTTTTGGCATATTGTAAAATAAAATTCCTGGTTGACAACAAATTGAAACATTGCTTTTATTTTTAATAATAATTTTAAAAAGTTTCTAAAATTTGGTGTTCTTCTCATATTCTTTTCTGAAGTATCAGCATTACAAAAATCTATTTTACTTTCAAGTTTAAATGTTACGGTTTTACAATAATCTCATAGTCACTTCACAGCAGAGGAGATAAAAATGAAATGTGATTCTGAAAATGTAAAATATTTTTTGCAATTCCAAAAATCGCAAATTATTTACCATTTATTCCAGGCGAACTTTTTTTGGATATCAAAATCATAATATCTAATTTGTCTAATACATGCTAAATATAATTCATCAAAATACTTATTGGAAAAAAAATATTGGTATATATACTTACTTTTCTCAGTTTGTTACTGTATGCAATTCAAAGGCATGATCTATTTAATAGTATAAATATCAGTGACAGATGGTGCTGTAAAAATACTAAAAACAATCATAAATCTTTAAAAATGAAGTAATTTCTGATAAAATACTCAAATCGATTTATTTTATGAAAACCTCATAAATTTATGATAAAAAAAAACATACAAACGTGTCGTTTTTTTATCTTATCGACATCAGCAGGAAGAATATTTACAATTCAGTTTTTTTTTAAATAAATTGTTTTTTTTTTACATTTGTTTTGTAAAGGTGTGTACTGATAGAAAGGCTGTTGTCCACTTCCGAGAAAGCATTTATTTTTTTCTCAGTACAGCATTAAATGTTACTTATTTTAATAAATTTAAATATGCCAAGAAAACTTATTTTGTGGTCATACTTATTTGCATGCACATCCTTTGCTTGACTTTGGTTTTTCAGGGTCTTACTTTTTCACTAATAATGCTTTTATCGCTATGTAATGCATTTTAAAGATCACACAAGTTTAAAAAAAAAAAAAAGAAAAGTAATCATAGAGTATTTTCTATCCATTATGATTTTCTTGGGTGCGTTATATTTCCTTAAATGGATTGGATACAATACCTAGGAGATAAATAAATAAATGTACATCGATGAAGTAATTGTGCAAACATTGAAGGACGAAAATATCGAACGAAAGAAGATACATGTATATCAGTTTATTTTCTGTTAGTTCTTTAGAACAAAATGCAAAAACTAACATTTTAATTTGCTGACAAAATATTAATGTTTGTTTAAATTTTGTCTGAGATGAAAATACCGGAGAACACGTTGTAGCGACGACTTTCGTGTTAATGTCTTCTACCAACGGATTGCCTGGTCCAAACAACATCACCGCTATTGAGGCCCAACACCACGGTTTGTGAGCTCTGATCATATGGAGACGAGTTGGTACGCATTGTCGATATATGCTGCCCGTTTTTAACAATTTGAATGTGATCCCTCTGCCATTATGGTACACCAAAAGAGATACAATCCCTTTCTCGGGGCAATAAATTGTCCTGTCCATTTGCTGTAACCTTTACCATACTTAGAATTACCCTGTCGTACTTCATTGTTTGTTCGTCTCCTAGATACACACTTCGTGAAAGTTGTGCCGTAAATCCTATAGCTGGAGTTGAGTTCACCCCTTTCATAGAGAAGGATATATTTGTATTACACAGTTTTACCTTGCTTTCCACAAACGCTCTATTCTTTACTGCAGTTCTTTACAATAATACATGTATTTTTCTTTGGTTGTATATTTTGCATGCATTGATATTTTAATGATTATTACCTATGATTAGGGACAAAGTTAATCTTTGTAATGTAATCTGCATCCTTTTTTTCTAATTTCTAGATCCACAGATGAATTGGATAAGAATTTTATTTCGAATTTGTAATTTGCTTGAACAAACTGTTTACTCGAAATAACATTAAAAAAAGAAGAAGAACAGTTATTCTACTTATTCGGTAAAACGCTCGTTCCGTGATCGGAAGGTCGTGTCTTCGAGTCCCGGCCGCGACTGACCTAAGTCGATAAAGAATAGTTAGCTGTTCCTTCGCCAAGCGCTCGGTGCTTTGTAGTGAAAGTCACTGTTAGTCAAGTTAAGTCAAGTAAAGTTTATTTATAGTTTATTTATAATTGGCAAATATATACAATATAACTGATAAACATGAGCTACATTGTATGATAGCTCTTTAACAGACTTTAACAAATTTACACGAAGAATAAAAGTTTAGTAAAAATATATATAGTAAAAGAAACATTAAATGAAACCATAAAAATAAACATTTTAAAGGTTAAGAAATAAGCACAGTGCAGCACAAACATATACTACATGTAGCATCGATGGAAAGAACTGAAAAATAAACAAAGCAGCACAAATAGCAATTCATATATATGACTAGCACAAGTAAGGACAACCACAAAGCACAGTACAGAACAGACATGTACGAGCACTGGTAGAGAAACACGGAATAAACAAGAATTTAAGGCAATATTGATAGTAATTAAACATGTGACTAGCTTATATATGGACGATCACAAAACAGATAAAGAGAAAACAGATAAACATACAACACGATACGATAGAAAATCCGCAGATAGGACATGATAGAACTTTCAAAAATAAAGTTGCTGGTACTGTATCTATACAAAGGTTTGCATAAATATTAATGCAAACCCATGGCCTCATTAAATGAAAGTGTAATATCACAGTCAATCTTTATTCTAATTTTTTAAAAAATCACTAAATATAAAATTAATAAAGGCTATAAATGAACATAAAAATGCCTCTACAAGAGGACTGTTAGTCCCCGAGGGTCTTTACAGCCCAGTAGCTAAGTACTTAGGTACGCGGGTATGTTAAGGCAGTACACAGATCATATTTCGGCGAATTTAGACTTTTTTCGTAAAATGTAATATTGATAAATCGCAAAAGCCGTAGATAAAACATTTACTATTATTTTCCATTGTATAGACGTCATTGAGTCTTAGGCTAAAAGAAGCACTCCACTACGACGTCATCACGTGACGTCTATAAATAGAAAAATTGCCTTAATGAATAAGTGAAAAGTTCAACACTACCCCGGGGATAATTCATTTCTTTTTGTGAAAATAATTGTGTAAAAACATCACTGGACCATGAAAAGTGCTGCTAGAATCCTACTCTCCAAACACAGAAAAAAATATTCCAAAGTTTCGCATGAAACCTTACCAAAATTTTTACATTTTGTACATACGATCAAGGAATTGTCATCAATTTATGTTAACCACACGATTCTAGCAGCACTTTCCAAGTACTATAGAATACAACCTTTCGATACAAAGAAAAATTATGTTTCACAGTATGCGGCGTAGTGTTGAACTTTTGCATCTTTGTTGTTATAGAGCGACAGAGGAAAGGCTAATCGGGATTTCAAAGCACTGCCTGTGTTCATTATAAGAAAACATGATAAGAATATATCAGTGTACCTGATTCCTAATCTTTAATTCCTTATTAATCACACATAACATTCACGGTATATGCTTTAAAACTCCCATTTCATCTATTTGTTTACATGAATTCTCGTCACGTTTCATTTTCACTCGGCAATTATTTGATCAATAGTTATGACGTCATGGGTTTGGTATTTAATCCCCGTGATAAATACTTAGCTATTTATACCACCCAAAAACGACAAGATTTAGTTTATATTATGTTTTTGAATGATTCCATTCATTTCTTGGACCTGAAATTAAATATAGATGTTAAGAAATCATTATTTCTAAAGATCACGTCATACAGCTTACTATGACGTCATATTGTAAAGGCAAGTAGGATATCTCTAGGTGTAGCCTTAACATACCCGCGTACTAATTTAAAAAAAAGGATACAAATTAAACCATGTTAATTGCTGTGGTAAAATTCAAAAATTTATTTCAAAATTGAGGATTATTTCCCTCGTGCATAACTCTGCATGATCCTTCGATGTATTTGGCTCCAGTCTTTGCCATCCCTTTTTTCAGCTTTATTTCAGCTCTTCAAAGTATTTTTTTTTCTTTTTTTATAAATATTTCGGATTTCCAAAGTTTCGGCATGAGCATCACTGACGAGACATAGTTTGTGGAAATGTGCATCTGGTGCCGTATATGATTTACTATATTACATTCATTCTGTGTTTAGTGAATATTCTATTTTCTTGTTTATCATCCCGAATTCGGCTAGAATATCAATTAAGACATTTTAAGATATATATACAACCTTGTTTGACATCTCAGGATCTAAATGTACCTTATGTCGATAAGACAGTTTTCAAAGGGCAATGTCACAAAACATCTGTGATGTAATTTGAAGCAGAAAATAAAACTTGCTTTTCATGGAGATTTATGATACAAAGTTCGATGTGCACATATTGGATTTCATGTGGCAGTGTATTTGTTATCCATCTTTAACTGTGTTTGCATTTAATTTTAGAATATCTGCTAAAGTCAGCTTATAGCAAATGTAGATGGTTAAAAAAAATGCTTGAGAGAACAACCAGATATTAATTCAAAAAGTGTTCATTTCACGCTGATTCCATACGGATGCGTCTTGAATGCAAATTTGATATTAAGTGGTATGTGCTGACCTTCATAAGGAAAAATTCTGGGTATTTGCAATTTTTGGCAACGTAAAAAATGAAAACTTACAAGAACAAAACTTCATATTAATTACTATTTCAAAACCCTATTTTATTTCAAATGACATGATTCCGTACACAAGCAGGAGATAATCTCCTACTGATAAAACCATTAGACAATTTCTGATATCAGAACTCCTGTGAACATGTTGTACCCTACGTGGTCATGCAGATGTCTTCCATTCCAAGCTTGTCTCGTCCACACATTATCTCCCTTACGTAAAACTAGGACAACAGTCTGTGAACTCTGGTCAGTTGTACTGGAAAATAAGGTTGATATACGTCTTCCATTCTTTATTATTTCAATGTGTATGTGATGGTTACGCAAAGCCATTATGGTACAGGAGAACAGGTACAATCCTTTACGAGGCGCTGTAAAATGTCCCGTCCATCTGTTGTATCCGTCACCCTGATTGGTTATCACTTTGTCGTATTTAACTGCTTGTTTTTCTCCTAATTGGACATTTTTAGAAAGCTTAGCACTGAATCCAATGGCGGGAAGAGTAGCTAAAATTCAAATTAATCTTAAGCTTGTGTAAAACAACATCATTCTGATTACTTAGAAAATGGCTTTAACTTCAAAATTATTGATATTACATGCGAAAAAATACTGAGACGTAATTTAACTATATACCATACGTTAATAGAAAATCAAATATGGCTTCTTTCTTTTGCATTAACAGATGGTTTAAAAGATTTATTTCCTTTAAAAAAAAAACAAAATAACTCCTAGCACTTATATCAACGTACTATATATTCTTACATTGTATATTATAAATTCTTTTTATAAAATAATAATACAATTGTAATTGAAATCACCCTCAAAAATACTTTCTGGACTCAACTAATTTTGTTATTTGACATTGTGTTCCTTAACAGATATTTAGCTCTGAATATTCAAGACAGGAATTTGAGTGTATACCTACCATGTGAGCATGTAGATACATGTAATACAAAAACTATGATAACAGCTGAAACAGGAAGTGAAGCCTTCATCATCTTTTGTCGTTTATATCGCTAAATAGAAAAATGAATTTTACGGAGTGATATTTTTTACCGCATTTTATTCAATACAAAATTGAAAAAATTGAAGTCATTCCATTTGTCGTACAGTTTAATTGTCATTTGGTCATTAATGTCTACAGTCAGTGAGAAAAAAAAACAATTAGGAAACAAATAAGGCAGACTTCTTTTTTTTTAAATGAATAAAAATAACTATTGTAAATTGAAAATAAACGTCGTTGTTATATCGAATTGTTTAATTGAAAGCCAAAGCAAGAGTTTACTCTGTGGAATTTTTTAAAAAATAAATTTCATTCTATATTTAAAGGTCGTGTCATCAAGTAAACTGGTGTACACATTGGTAGTTCATACCCAGCATACTATGCGCGATGTTACACAGGTTGATGTGAGGATCACGTGACCTGGTGTAAACATTGGATAATTTCTGATATAAATAATAGTCGATTGGCATTTTGACTAATGCGCTTCTAAACTCATATGTAATTTAAGATCAATAAAAAATATCTTACTGTACAAAATAACTCCATAAATAGTTTGCATTGATTTCTAAAATGCCAAACTCAACAGTATTGTTAATATTATGCAATAGAAAAAGTCACCATTGTCTCCCCAAAAACCTCCCGTCAAAAAATTATTCTCATGTAGTGACATTTAAACCAAGTAATTTTTAAGTTTTATTGAAAAGTAAATATTTTGTTGAAATATACTAGTGACCATGAACTTCAAAAGCTAAGGATCAAACCTCCTTAATACTCTTCCAAAATTCTTAAACTATCCTGACAGAGTTTCGAGGTCTCCTCTTCATATATTTATCCCATCGTCTAGCAAACTCTTCGATGAATTCGTAAAAGAAATGAAGTTTCATCGCCAATTCAAACGTTGTGGCTCCTGACGTTTAGTCTTTTAAAAATGATTGCATTCAGGTTTTCATTTTTGAACTTTTTTAAAATCATTGATAATGATATATGATATTAATGATACATATAATGACAATTGCAAGAAAAAAATAATATACTTCCGAATTATGAAAAGTTATTATTAATAATGTAATGTACATAAATTTCAATTTGCTACTATATAAACAAGCACATAATATGGATATATCAGAGGAATGGTCTACATATGATTTACAAAGTTCATGTATGAAATGTATGGAGATAACGAACAGTATTCAAGTTCAAGGTCCATCAAACAACACAAAACTTTGGAGCAAAGCAAACATGGACCTCTAAAACATCAGAGGTGGGATCAGGTGCCATGGAGGAGTGAGCATCCCCTGCCGACCGGTCACACCCGCCATGTGCTCCTTGTCATGGTCGGGAAATGACGGGAAAATTCGTCGATAATTCAGTGGGTAAATACTGTCCTAACAATTAGCATGAAAAAAATTGTAACAATTAGTGGCAAGAATAACTCAACACCTGGATAGGGGACGCTATCGGCTTTTTGTCCGATCACTTTTGCGACGACCAACTTATCACCGTGTGATTGGGGTTATGGTGCCAACATTCCCTTTTACCCGTACAATGACATATCATTTTAGACCCAAACTACACGGTTCAGTTATGTTGCAATGGTTGTCGATAACTTGCAGTACAAGGGAAAAAACATATAGTCCTTTCATCTGAGCATTGCCGTATCCATCTATCCCATAATTTGCAATTACTATGCAGGATTTAACTATTTAAATTGAAATGACCATTAAAGTTTCTTTAATAGAAACTCAAGAGAGAGAGAGAGTATAAAAGGTAAAAGTCATAGTGAGTTTTAAACACCAGAAAGATTAATAGACTAAGTCAAATTTCAGAGCAATGGATAGGGATACTTTTTTGGATGGTACTTCGTTAGCAAGAACAGTTTTATACAACAGTTCATATGTTCTTTTTTATGTATCTAAATGATGTCCACTGATTGAAAAAGGATCATAATCATTCTTGGCATATCGAACAATGAATTTGATCCTATTCACTAATTGGTAGCAAAGTTCAACACTTAAAAAAATAGGTGAATGGAGAGCAATTATATCCTAGAAGCTGTAATATCTTTAGAGATATCCAAATAATTTATATGATATAAATATATTATATGCCATTCCATTAAAAGAAGAAAACATTTATATGTGTACTTACTTTTTATCAATTTGCTACTATTCGCAAATAATGCATGTTTTATATAAGTGTAAAATAGGTCATACATGTAAACGTAAAAAAACCTCAAAATTCTATCTTGAATCTTCAGGAATGGAGTACCTACTCATAGAATACTTAATATGATTTATTTTATAAAACCCTCGCTAAATTTACGATTGGGATAATATAAAATCAAGACATTAAGTCTCTTATCAGCATCAGCTGTAATTTCGCAGTAACAATCAGAAAGAAAAGTAAATATACGAGGGTGTCCGGTAAAATCGTGAACAAGTCGTTTAGAGTGAAAAAATAATCATCGCTGCGTTCTAAAAATTTCAATCTGTAGTACATTTTCATCAATATAAATAGCAAATTTCAAATAGATATATGCTCAAATTGTTTGTTTGTTTATTGTTTAACGTCCCTCTCGAGAATTTTTCACTCATATGGAGACGCCACCACTTGCCGGTGGAAAGCTGCCTATACTTGGCCTTCAGGGCCATTGAGCAGTGTGGGATCTTTTTCGTGCCAGCATCTACTGCGACACGGGACATCGGTTTATACGGTCTCATCCGAAGGACCGGTCTCCACGTTCCATCGTGCGATTCGAACCCGCGAAGAAGGATCAACTCCTTACTCCGCGACTCTAGAGTGGACGCTCTACCACTGCGCCACGCGGACGACTATATGCTCAAATAAACCAAATATGTGATTTTATGTTATGTGTGGTATCGCCTTACTGCGGAAGGATGATAGAGACAAAGTGTATGAATCAGCATCTCCTTTCCTCTTTGCTTAAAAAGTTGGATAAGCCCCACTTAAATTCGGGAATTTCTTTGATGCACATTCTTGAGTTTCCCTTTATTCCTGCATAAGCAGTCGAGGAACCAATCTCGTACACGCATGGGACCTTCTGAAGATTTATTGGTAAGTTATGGACAGTATTCTCACTATCATTCAACTAAATAGGCTGATATCGACGGTCGACAGTGACATCGTGTTTCGCTATTGCCAGTAGCTGTACATGTTTGTGCGTACGGTTTGTTCTACCCGGGGACTGGATCAATAGGCTTCCGCTTAGAAAACTCCCATTTCACTTGTATACTAAAGATCTAGTGATATTTTTTTTTTCTTTTCTAGTCATTTAACGTCTGTTAGGGCGTCATTACTAAATCTAAATCAACTGAAATGCTCCCCGGTGCGCCGCAAAGTCATCAAACGTCGCCATTTTCCGTGTGTTGTGTTACCACATTCCTATTTCAAATGTACGTGAAACTGCCAAAAATAAAGCAAATGTCTTGAACTTTCCCATGAGACGACATAATAGACAATGGATAAATAATAGGATAATTTGTAGCCCAACCTTATCTATTTAATACTTTTATTTCCAAATAACACTCGTGTATTCTCTAAAATAATTCGGGGGGGGGGGGGGTGGGTTATCGTGCGCCGTACGACCGTACCCTGTGAACGTTCAAGTGTAATACAATCTTTATTTTGTCTATATTTTATCCAAACAATTAAGATGCACTGAGATATGATAAATAAACATTTGATGAAAATTCTACCCCAGTGCACCCATTATTTTTCGATAAAAACGCTTTGTCCACGATTTTACCGGACAACCCTCGTATACTTCAGACTGGGGTTTTTTTTTTTAATTGAAATATCTATATAAGCATGATAATCATTTAAAAACGTCCACGTAAAGTAACTAAGAACTAAGCCAGTGAAACTTCGTTCTAAATTAATCCCAGACATAAACAACACATTCAAATGCGATATATCGATCAAGAAAGCTGAATGAAATATGAAAATAACGAACAATGTCCATAAAAAATGCAGATTTGGAGCAGAGCAAACACAGATCTCTAAAAACATCAGTTGAAGAAGCAAGTGCCATGGAGGAGCAAGCACCCCCTGTTGACCGATCACACCCGCCATGTGCCCATTGTCAGGATCGGGCAAACGAAAAATCCGTGGACAATTCAGTGTTTAAATAATGGCCTAACAATTAGTATGAAAAATGAAATAAATCCTATATGCAAGTGATAAGGGTATATTGTTACATAAGTAAGGGAAGTTGACGATGGAAAAGTTGAAGTCATCACTTTTATCATAAATTTTTGTTGTTAGGTTACCATTAACGTCTTTTTCTAGCAAAATATCCAAATATAAAACAGATGTGTATCTTTTATTTCAAGTCCACTGGGATATATCGAGTCGGCATATGACTGGAAGTAACTACTGTTAATGAAAATACGTCGTCGATATAAATGTTACGAGTTCCATTTTTTGGTGAAAAAGCAGCTGTCTACGATGTCAAAAAGCTTGGACTTTAATTTATGGTTTGGGAATGGTTGTATAGTGTTGAAAATTCGTAAGTTTTTATGTTATTGATTTTAGTAAAGATTTGTGATTTCAAATTTTCTTAAATTTCCTAAGATTTTTAAGTGTTCCACATCTGATTTACATCGCTTTTCGAATAAATTGTTGTACTGTACTCCTGAAGTTTTTCCTTTCACTGCTGATAATATTTTAGTGAGGAGTAAAGAAAGAGGTTTGGTAGAACATTTACTGAAACCTGCAATGTATTTTTGTTAGGATTTTTTTTATAGTTTAGGAATCTAGTATAGGTATGGTAATTCAAAATCAGTTTGATTGTTTAAAATATTTAAAACTGATGTATGATTTTGAAGAATTTCCTCCTTAGAAAGGGAACCATGGGTATCAGTTGGATTACCACTTGCAGAATTAAATCCAGGTTCAAATAAAGACTGTGTTGTTACCTGCTTAGTCAGTTTGGACATATTGATCATGTAATCTACATGTATCTAATTCTTTTTTCACCTCTGCATTATTATAGACAGAAGTATAGATGGTTTTCATATTGCCCCTAAATAGCTTAATTCGAGATTTCAACAACTATCTGATATTTTAAATCCATTCTGACAAAGTATCAAGGTCTTCTTTTTCATGTTTGGCCCATCGTCTGGCGTAAACATCCACAGAATTCATTATACACATTATACATGTATTATTTTATAAAACAAGTTGCTGTCCTTTAAAAAAGGACTGCAATACGTGGACAATATGCATGTGTTTCTAAACGAAATTCAAAGAAAATTTCCAGATTTAGTGATTTTACAAAGGTGTAATTAAATTTAATTTTTTTTTTTTTACATGTATCTTGTAATTTTCATCGTTATTTAATTAGGCTGTAATGTTAAAAAAAATTATGACCTTGAAATGATGTGAATATGAGATGTTGATCTAGGTATCTATCACAATTGTAAAGTAGCCTTTAAAATTAACAATAGAATTAAAAGAGGCTTAAGCGTGCAGGTATCGTAATGGTTGAATTTTAACTCCATTGGTGGATCCAAGGGTTGGGGGTTGGGTGATGGACCCCCTTTATTTTTGCAGGAAGAGAAAGAGAGAATTTTCTTCTGTAATGTAGATATTTTTACGCCTAGTATTTTCAATAAAATATTAATAGTATCCTACCCCCATGGGCCATAATTTGAACAATTTAGAATCTACACTATGTCAGTAAGCTTACACATAAGTTTCCTTCTTTCCCGATCCAGTCGTCCTTGAGAAGGTTTTTTAAAGATTTTCTCTAGATTTTCCAATGCAAAACGTTAGCTCTCTATTATGACCCACTCTAACCCCGGAGACGAAGGTGTTAAAACTTTAGTAATTAAATGAACTAAGAAAGCTTATTCTCTAGTTTCTTTTTTTTTTCTGAACCAGTGGTTCTTGCGAAGATTTTTTTTAAACGACCTCATCCTCTTTTTGTCTTTTCTTGACATACGGACGTCGAACATCGGTGATCAGAAAAGTGAATAGCTAAGATAAGGTAATAAATGAGTATGTACAAAAAAATACATAAAAACATATATTTATATGATTTTAAATGAATTCAAATATGAATTTTACATCTGATTAATTTTGCTCTATGAAATAAACATATGCGATACCAATTTTAATGAGCTATTGTTATCAATGAAATATGACGACAATGAACAGTATTCAAGCTCAAAAGTCCATTAAAACAATACATACTGGGAGCACACGAGGACAAACCAATCATTAGTTGAAACCCATATTGTCAGACTACCCAGATTACTGGTTATCTCTATATTCTGTTCTTTCTATCTTTATTTCTAATATTTAAATAAAAATATCAGTTAAGTTTTAAAATATTTTTTTATATAATTTGTATAATAAGCAATATATAATATATAATTCATATATGTTTTACAATGTTTGTCAACTGTTTATTCTATATATAAGATATTTCAGTAATCAGATGACATCAGTTTTCGACTTCCATTTTTTCGTGACCTTGACCTCCAGTTATCTGGATCATTTCTCGCTTGTAGTCTTTGATGAAATCCATAATAATTTCAACAGCATATTCGTCAACTCCAACCACATCCAACATGGAACTATCCCCAAGCACAGATGCAGGTCTACTAGTTTTAAAGCAAACTACAACACATTTACTATTAGGTTGTTTCGATTTTTGATAAGACCTACGAATTTTGTCAATGTCTTTAGTCTCAAGTGTATCGGTCAACAGCAGTATGATATCAAACTTATTTTCCTTTGCATAATGGAAAGGAACATTGTAGTTTGTCTCCTTCTCTCCGCTTTCTGTGTGCTTTTCAGAGAAATCAATGTCAAAAAGATCTCCACTGGGATTTTCCAGGAATGTTTTTTGAGCTGACTTGAAGAATGTTATTGTTTGCACTTCAAATGAGCTGTGGAAAAGAAGCGACAATGCTACAGCTGCTTCCTTGCACGACATGCTCGGGATACCAAGCACATGAAAGTCCATATTCATATTTACATCAATTGCAATTAAGACTCTACTTTTCGTAGGCTCAAAATTCTTTGCCGAGAGAGAATAAGAAGCTACTAATGCTCGTTCTATTTCTTTGTTGACGTCCCATGTGTGACCAGAGTCTCTTAATCCACGTCCACGTCTATATGCAGCAAACGCCGCTAGAAGCTGGATAGGATGAATTGATTCCACCAAGTCAACACTTCTCAGTCTCTCACATATTATTCTCTCATCTTCACTTTTGGGTTTCAGTATCCCGAGTCGGCCCATTCTTCCAAGATTTCTTATCATGGCTATCATTGGCATATTATGCCTCAAAAGAGCTCTCCAAATTTCAGGAGACTGTAAATGTGATGTAGGGATACTTTCCCATGGAATCCCCCATTTCTGTATGACTTCCTTTATTACTTCTTCTTGATCCGAATTGTGTTTGTTCTTTATGAATTCCACAGCTGTTATATAACCTTTTACATTCTGCGTTTCCTTTTCATTTGCTTTACCTTTATTTGCCTTTTTGACTCCATTTGTCACATAATGAAAAATATATTGAAAAGCTTCATTCGGAGGTTTAGGGTGACATGATTTAATCACCTTCTTTTGTGAGAACATGTGTCTCCTTTTGTATTTAGTGACGTGAATGGCCAGCTTCTTTGGATCGTTTCTGTATTGTTCATTTTCAGTGTACCACGCTGCAATCGCTCTTCTGTGACTTCTTGGCCAGCCTCTGCATTTAAACCTGGTCCTGCAGAAGCTCAGAAACTGAAAAAGATGTGATGGCGTTCGGCAAACATACGGTAGAGCTGCATAAGCCTGTTTAGAGACTGCCTTTTTATCATGCCTTGCGCACAAAGCTAGAGTATAGGCTATTGGATAAAATTTCAAACATTTTCTTGATGCTCTGCATATATATTCGATGACTTTATTGTGTCTTCCATTTTTTATAAGTCTGTAATAATAAAACAAAATTAGTACGGTAATTACCTTCATTTGTCTGTAAATATTACAACAATTCCTTATATCAACTAGCAGTCTGAGAGTACATGTCACCTCAGTTTTAAATGTTAATCCAACAAAACATAATTATCCTCATCATGTACCCGGTATATTGTCATAGAGACTATACTAATTTACGTCAATATTTTCTGTAATTAGCTCGACACTGAATTTTTAAAATAGAAAAATATAGATATTTATTAACCACAGCGGATTGACTGATTTTTTTTTAATATCGACAAATATAGTTTTAATAAGTCAATAAAATATTTCAATTTTTTTCCCAAAAACATTTTTGCATTTTGACATTTTGCATTGATCTCGCCAGAAAATGTAAAATCGCAAAATTTAACAATTCCAGTAAACAAACATTCTGCGTTCTTACATGTGTTAATTGTCGTTTTAATCGTTATATAATACATTGCACCCCCCCCCCCCCCTACATACGTATATGCATCTTCCCAGCAAGTTTGGCATTGAATAACATAAATATTGGGCTTATAGCTATATACTTAGAATGAACTTAATAAAACTGACGTTGGAAGTAAATAAATGGCATAAGCTCATCTCAACTTCGATGTAAATTAAAATAATTCAATAATTTATTTGTTGTAATAGCCTATAGGGTCTAAATCAATACGACCATGAATTTCACAAATAAAAAAGGGACTTGCAACTCTGTTTTAATAAGCTCTGATTCGTTATATGTAAGAATAGTACCTCCAAAAACTTTAACATTTTTTTTAGTTTTCATAATATATATATTCAATATTTACTTCTTTTCGCCCTATATGTGCATTATGTCCGCATTTTACATCAAAATGGAGGGTCATAATATATAAACTTGATAAAACCTAGCTGATAAATACTTTCTAAACTTAAACAGGTCTGGTACACTGCCTTTTATGGAAGGCCCTTTTCAACACGTGACGATGTTTTCGTCACACCCATACTCCAATCAACTGAATGAGTCGCAAAGCATGACGGTCCACTTCAATAGCAACGTGATTTTCGTTGGTTTACTGCATAATATTTACTTGGTCACCGGAAAAACCGTAAAGCTTCTTTTTTACTTTATAAGGCTGAAATTGAAAGACTATATTCAGAAGACACTGTTCCATGCTCACGATTAATAATTGAGTTGATCAATAGTTGCTTCAAATACCGTACAAACTCTGTGATGGTTGAGTGTACATAATTTTTTTCTTGATGATATCGAGGAGTTAAATAATAACTGCACACCTTGTACTGCTGTCTAAAACTACGTGCATGTATATCACGTGAAAAAAAATCACACCCAATGCTTTCTCCACACAATAGCACCTACGTCTCTGTGAAAAATGGCCGGTTTACGCCAATGTATTACAAGTTGATATTTAAGGCTCCATAAAGCAAACTTTGTAAATGTGAGCATATTTATCATATTCAATAATTCTTTCATAAATAAAAAAGAATTAAAAATGAGTTTCCAAGGGACAATTCAATACAACATAGTTCGCACTGATACTTGTAGTAGGGCAAGGATCAGCTATATTTGTTAATAATAACGGCCGTCACTTTTGAAATTGAAATTAAGAAGAATATATTTTTTTTGCAATTCAAAAAGTTGTATTTATATATTTATAGTTGTATACTTCTGTAATATAAAAGAGAAAGAATAAACAATTTAATCTTTTTATGTTAAGAAATAAAATTAATATTACCATATTTGTGTAAAATTGTCCAACTTTTGCGCATGCTTATAAGAGATTTTCTGACCTATGTGTCAAAAATGCAATTTTTAAAAAATAACTTTAATAATACTTTTTTTTTATAACTATATTCTGAAAGATAGATGTTTACTTTACAATTATAGATAAAAAAATAATTACAATTGTTTATCATTAGCCCGAGAAAAATAGCCTTGAAATTGTATAACGGACGTTATGAGTGTCGGTCAACATGATGGGTTGACTTTAAACATTGAAATATATGTAACTGTAAAGAAAATATACGAACATTTTATGTTAGGTTTAACTTAAAAGTATACCCAACAGGTGCTTTTCCATAACGTCTGTGTAAAGGATTCAAATATTAAATTATCGCAAATTTATCAAAGGTACACAGGTGTCGGTCAAATTCATAACGTCCGTAATCTAGGGCGTAAAATGGCTTGCAAATGCGGAATATAGAATCAGTTCGGTTTTTTCTATTAGTTTTACCACATAAATGCAGTATACGTCACCAAAAGCGACCGTAATGCAAAAAGGAGGCAAAGTGGGTGAGTCTGTACTGTCGGTCAATATTTCTTAGTAGATAACAGGCGTCACGCTTATAACTAAATAAGATTTATATAATCTTTCTTGATAAAGTGGACAAGCCATGTTCTCCGATGTGTTGAAATCTATAATTGTTATTGTTTGACACAAAAGTTTAAGCATTTTTTTTATAATTATTACGATCATAGAGTTCGGCAGTTATATTTTGACTAGCATAAAATATACGGATGTGACAGTTTGACAGAAAACAATGTCAAACCTTATCTTCAGACGCACAATGGTTTGGTTATGTAACATAGAAATTTTAGGGATATATTTTTGGCTGTTTTGGTTATAAAAATTCATTTATTTTCTTTTCAGATACCATGCTACCAGCTCCTTATTGATTTTCTTGGCTGATTGCCTGTTATGATTTGACCATTGTCAATCTGTGCTGATACCAATTTTTTTTCTTATTATGTTATTAAAGATAAAATTTTATCAGTAAACTTCAGTTGTATGTTAAATGGTTAATGAAGAACAAGTAATAAAATTCCTAAATAAAAATTACAAAATTGTAGAGAGTTAGAATGAAACTAACATGAAAAATACCGTAACGGATGTTATAATGTAACATGCATCACAGTGCTTAAAATTCATGAGAATACTTTCAATAGTTTTAATCAGTATTAACAGAATTTTTGGATGGAGGTATTTAACTTCATTGCATGTATGAAATCATGTGTATTCTGAAGAAAACTTACGAAAAGCTTTAAAAATCATCGTCAATGTAACCTCCGTAACTAACAAACTTTAGTTTGTCAATTTGTAGAATCCATTTTTGTCAAAAAGTCAAATATAACATCCGTTTATTATGCAGGATAAAAAATAGTTAAAGGAAGAAGTAATGTACCTTATTCTGCTTTTTTAAAATGAAAAACTAGTTTTATTTCCTCATGTAGTGAAAAAAACACCGAAAACACGATTTCTTTGCAGAAAGTAAGAACTATGAAAATGCTGTAGCAGGAGAATTTGACGTCACCTCCGTCACGATTAATTGTGCCTTATTTATTTTACAGATAGGTCATAAAAAGCTGTCTAATTCATTCCAAGTGAAAGCGTGGTCTGATTCATGCATGTGGTGGTTTTTTAACGTTCCGAGAAGGGCGAAAAAACCTTCAAAATTCGCATTATCTGTGTCAACATAACGCCCGTCACTTTTTGATCAACTACATTTGGATGCAGTTTTCTTAAAAAATAAAAATGCAACTATCTTTTCTTTATGAATTCATGAAGGAAGGTATAAATATAGATGCTTTTAACTAGAAAAAGTGTAAAAATACTGACACAATTTTTTTCACTGTGACGGCCGTTATTATTTACAAATAGCTGATCCTTGCCCAGTGCGACTCATTCAAGAGTCGGTAAAGTAAACAGATAGATAATTTACATGCAAATTTATGCTGACGTCAGAAAATCTAGTAGTCTCGACCTGTTAAATAGCAAATTCTTATTTACATTTAAGAGTAACTAAAAATCAACACCGTCACTGTCATATGCTTTTTTTTAAAAAAAGATTACATTGGTTGAATGAATAAGAAAAATAATAAGGATTGACTTTATATTTTTATGTGACTTCAACACTGTTCAAACATCAAAAACGAAAGTAGAAAAAAAATTAAATGAATTTTTATAATATATTTGCTTGTATTAACATATCACCTTCGAATAACATCTGCGTCAGAATCCTCTATTTGTCTATATCCAGGTCGGTAAACACCTACTAAACTTCCAAGAAACAAAAACTTCCAAAGAGCTTCTTCGTCCTCCATTTTAATCAGGTACGGAAACGATTCTAATAATAGATATCGAATGGCATACCTTAAAATAACACAGGAGCTTTAAATAACGACATGACATCAGTTAGTCCTAATTTTTTTTTAAACTTCATAAATATTGATTTTCATAACAATTTCACATGTGATTTTTTTTTTAATTTAAAGCTATAAATCTGAAATATCTATTCAATATGTAATGGATATATGCCGAATACTGTTCTACATGTAAAATTATCAGACTGTTTGAGGCCCGTTAGGGCCGAACACAGTCTGATAATTTTACATATAGAATTGTATGAGGCATATATCTTCTTAAAACATTGCTATTTAAATGTCCAAAAGTTACCTGGAGGAGTCCGATAATTACACAATAGGAGTTCAGGCATCAATAGTTTTTTACCTGAAACCATCTAATAGATAAAAGAAAAGAGAAAGTTTTTTTTTCTTTAGAAAGTAAAATCAGTGAGTGAACTCTTTTGTTTCATTCATTCAATGGCAGTCGTTTGGCTTAGCGGGAACTATGGACAGTGGTCAGGTGATGAAGGATTTTTTCATGATTCGGAATATTTTTTTTTTATTAAGTGCGTTTGACATTGATACAGATACAGTGTTGGATGATATCCTAAAAATGCATTTAAAGTAAAAATGCGAATTTTTATCTAAAATTTTGATGGGATGATATAATGAAAATCTTGGGTTTTAAAAGTGCGGTCATTGGCGAACTAACCTCGTTAAATGAAGAGATTCGCAGACTGATTCTTTATCAGAAATGGATTTAAATTGGCTTATTCACAGTACTGTATCGAAAACGCTTTGCAAAAACCGAATGGAAAGTGTTACTTTTGAGGAAGGTTAAAACTCCAGTTTCTTCTTGGATTTGCTATTTTTAACAACTTAATTTCCTCGCGTTCGCTTTCCCTGAATTTTTTCTCCCTCACTTTTTTTTTTTTTGGGGGGGGGGGGTTCTGGACAAATTAAAACCTTGATTTCACTCTAGTTGTTGTTTTTTAACTACTGTCCGATTTTGTTATCACTGCCGTCCGATAATATATTATTGGACTGCTAATTATTATTATCGGACGGCTACAGGTAAATTTTTAGAGTGCAAGAACAAAAGCATGACGTCACAGCAATGTTTCAAATATATTTTACATTAATGGTCATATGATTGACTGTGACGATCCAGTTTGTGAGAAAATAATTTTAGACATTTTTCTATATATTTTATTTTTTTTTTATGTTAATATTTGACCACCTCCCAAGTTAAAACGAACTTGTTTCGTCATGCATTCGACATGGTCGTAGTTCTTGATTAATATATATATATTTTAATAACATAGGCCTATATGTGTTTAGCGACGAAAACCACGTAGCGCAGTCAAACATACAGTATACAAATTCGAGGGTTGTCCAAAAAGTTCGTGTACAATGGCGTTTTTGTCAAAATGGATGGTACTAGATATTATACGGAAATATTTGTTTTGAAAATCCAAGTCAGATTTTGATCGTTTTAACCTGACATTTTTGTAAATATCGCGGTCTACAGAGATCGCAGATAATACGCACGCCCTAATGTTAAAATGCATTGGCGGACCGAGAGGGGGGTTTCGGGGGTTGGAACCCCCCTTTATTTTTGCAGAGAGAGAGAGAGAGTTTTCTGTAATATAGATATTTTTACGTCTAACATTTTTGAATAAAATAAGTAGTTCAATATAGATATGTTCTTTCTGAATGGTACATAGAGTTTTGCGTATTTGCCTTCCTCTGTGCACCTTCACAACCCTGGCCCGGACCCCGACCACCCACAAGTTACATGCAAGGTTTCACTTTAATTATCATCGGTAAGATTCCGGCGAACTGTAGGAATTTTTGGACCATCTTCTGAAGTATCTAACTTTAAGAGGTAAATGTATTCATAAAACGTTATGAAATGAAGTGTGCATAAGAGTATGGAACGCCGGGACTGTCTTATATGAGGATTAAACATTATATGCAGTGTTCTCTTCATTATATGTGGTATTATTTTAATTATATGAAGTAGTTTTTACAGTTTATCGTGTGCAACTTCCATTATATACAGTACTTCTTTCATTATATGATGTAGATGTGTCATTATATTATGTACATCTATCATTATATGAGGTGTTTTTATCATTATATGAAGTGCTTTTAACATTATATGCGGTAGATCTACCATTATATGCAGTGAACACAACAATATATTATGTACTTCTCACATTTTATACAGTATATTCATCATTATATGTAGTATTTCTGTTATTATGATGATGCTGATCGTTAAATATTATGTCCGGTCCTGTTAGCATTCCGTGCGGTAGATTTTGCATTTCGTTATGATGTAGACACAGTATTATATGCGGTGCTTTCTTCTTTATGTGTATGATCTTTCGGAAGCTACCTTTCGGAACTCTCTGTTAAAAATTCAGTACCTTGAGAACTCCGACCTTTCCTGTTGAATTCAGTACAATAAAAGCCTGCGTATATAACAATTAATGCTCCGTGAACAGGTTAAAATGTTTTTTTTAAAGATATGAAGTAGGGTAATAGAGTAAAATAAAATCCATTCTATTACATGGTATGAAGTAAAGAGAGAGAGGGGGGTTGTTGATAGAAATATTTTCGGAGTGGAAAAAAAAATTGAGGTATTTTCTATCTTTTTTGTGAACATTATGACTTTCAAAAAGATTCATATCATATATAGGACAATCAATGTCAAAAAAGATAATAAAAACAGGGGCATCGGCAAGAATTTGACATTGGGGAGGCGAACTGGATCGAAAAGGGGGGAGGGGTCCTAACCAACTAAAATAAGACTTCAGCCAAAATCTTGATATTTTTATTTTCTGATTAATAAAGAACAATTAAACATGCAACCAAAATAAAATGTTTTATGTGATTTAAGTTATATTTACTATAGATTTAAAAAACCGGAATATTTTGAATTAGCTAGGAGCTGGTGTTTTTTTTGTTTTTTTTCGAAACGGCATAGAAAGAACTTTGAAGGGTTTATGAGGTAAAGATTAAAATACATATAATTTTCTATTATTGTATAATATTTTTTGTTACTCGCCGAAAGAATGCATAGTTATGAAATTTAAAATGAACAGGGTGATTAATCCTTCATAATCCCCCCATTTTTGAAATGCAGAAATGTGTATGACATTAAAAAAAATCATCTGAAGTTGTTTTAAATAGTATTTGTTACCCAGTATTTTATTATATTGCTTTAATTTTAATAGCTTACAACTTAGATTCATCAAAGATTTCCAAACATCGATAGACCAATTCATTAGACAATGAACAGGCCTGTTATACGCGGGGGGAAGGTGTCAGGAAGGGGTGCTCTAATTTTTTACCTATTTCTCCACTTTTTCTGAGAATAGTTTTTTTTTTTTTTTGCTTAAGTTTCGATATGTAAAAATTCATTAACTTAGACGCTGCTGCTCTCCCCTTTTCATCTTTCATACACACTTTCTGTTGCTGTCAGGTCGAAATCGGGTAAATTCGAAAAGAAAAAAATTCCGACAACTTAGAGAGCCCCCCCCCCCCAAAAAAATAGAATTTCCAAAAACGTTGCTAGCTGTGGGCCTGATGAAGAATTTGTAGCAATCTTGCACGTAGAGCGATGGATACCATGCTTATTGTTTACAAACGCCAGGTACAGGTATATACTAGTAATTATACACGTACATGTACATCCCAATTTGCGTCTGTGTAAACAATAATATATATATATATATATATATATATATATATATATATATATATATATATATATATATATATATATATATATATATATATATATATACGGTATAACTGGGTAATTTTACCACATATCATTTTAGAAATAAAATCTTGAAGTACAACCCACGACTCAATACATTTTCTGTTCTGAAAATCGTTTATCTTTTCCTGATACATTACATAACATTCACACAGTATTTAACTAAGGACAATTTCAGCAATTTTTTTTATACGCCATAGTTTAACAATTAATACTATGGAACAATAAAATTATTTCAGTAATAAGTGCATCTCTCTCTCTCTCTCTCTCTCTCTCTCTCTCTCTCTCTCTCTCTCTCTCTCGTTGTAAACTACAGAAGTATTGATATGACTTCGAAATTCCTTTAATATAGGGATAAATATTGTGTGGTATGTGATTATTCCGCGATGCTTTGGCTGACGTGTGGTTGATTACCAATTATTAAAGATAACCCAAAATCATTAAGAATTTTTATATCTATAAGAACGAAAAAAGGTAGAACTTTCTAAATCTAACAAAGGGGGTTCCGAAAGGTAACTTCCGAAAGATCATACACATAAAGAAGAAAGCACCGCATATAATACTGTGTCTACATCATAACGAAATGCAAAATCTACCGCACGGAATGCTAACAGGACCGGACATAATATTTAACGATCAGCATCATCATAATAACAGAAATACTACATATCATGATGAATATACTGTATATAATGTGAGAAGTACATAATATATTGTTGTGTTTACTGCATATAATGTTAGATCTACCGCATATAATGTTAAAAGCACCTCATATAATGATAAAAACACCTCATATAATGATAGATGTACATAATATAATGACACATCTACATCATATAATGAAAGAAGTACTGTATATAATGGAAGTTGCACACGATAAACTGTAAAAACTACTTCATATAATTAAAATAGTACCACATATAATGAAGAGAACACTGCATATAATGTTTAATCCTCATATAAGACAGTCCCGGCGTTCCATATAAGAGAATATATTTCTATCCTTATATTATGGAGATATTTTAATCAATGAAGAGAAAGATTTTAACATGTTCCGTATAATTCGGGGTGTGGGGCTCACTTTTACTGAGAATAATGAGCAAATTCCAAGTAATTTAAAGAAAAAATGTACCGAAAAGTTAGAAGACACCCCCCCCCCCCCAAGTAGGATTTTAGAGTGTGGTGCACAGGTTTTTTTTTTTTTTTTTTTATTTTGCTTGTCAACTCTTTTTGGAGGTTGTCCCCGTAGGAAAACGTTTCTACGGGCTTGAATTTTCTGTTGTGTGATTCTATGCATGAATGTTAGGGGCACCGGCCTGGACCCCCCTCCCCCCCTTTCAAAATTTGCTGGATCCGCCCCTTTAATGCCAGTAACTTTTAAATGAAGTGTTTTGATTGAAATGATTATTTTCTTAATAGAACAAGTCAAAGCTTTGTAAAATTATTACAATGTACTGCAAATAAATTAAGAGGCTATCGTCATTTTCTGATATCTTTAGTATTGCTTACTATACAGATCACAGGCACCAAACTCGATTGAATTTTTGACCCCCTCTTTATAATATACTAGAGGGTCAAAAATTCAAGCGATTTTGGTGCCTGTGATACAGATTATAAGTTTCAAAAGTCATATTTTAAACGTTATTGTTAAATTAGTTTTACGTCAGTCTGTGTCGTGCACATATATGAGGTATTTACACCAAAAAATTCGTAAAACAGTGAGGTTTTTTTTTATATGTATATATTTATTAAATCATGGTCTATATCAAAATATCATCGTACAGTTGCCAGTGCGGATTTTATTAAAGGGGCCTGGACAAGGTTGCGTTGCTTACAATTTTAAATGTCTATTTTTATTCCAAAAATAACTGAGTTTAATGATTTGAACATACATGGATATTCAAGAATTAATTCAACGACAACGACATTCTTCATAACATCACGTCAAACACCTGTGTTTGTAAACATGACACGAGCTCTGTTATTGTTAGTCTTTACGTTTTATCAGGTGTGTTAAAATTGTTTAGTCTGCACACATCACCAGGACTGACAACACTGGCGAGTTGGTATTGCTTTCTCGCATTTCTACTCTGAATTTCTGGATTACAGTTTTCATATTTTTCATTAATACACAACAAAATTTCCACTTTTCTTAAGTATTATGGATAAAGTTTACTTTGTGAAAGTGCAAGAAAAGTGTAATCAAACGCGTCCCAGAAATCGTATTTTTAATAATTACCAGATGGAAGAATTTTCTTAAACGATTTTTATATATTTCGGTGTGAAATGCTCTGACTAGCAACATATATGTCATGATATTATTTAGAACATTTTAGAAAATATGAGCTTCAAATATGTGACCCAGCCCCTTTAAGAAAATTATAGCATATTTGACCACGCACTTTATGGACAACCCTCGTATATATAGTCACATAAATTTAACTATGTTAAATGCATCTGCAGGATTAAGAATTTCATAAGATATACAGCGTATTTATATATAAAAAAAAAGTGTACAATATTCACTTCGCAGTTGGTTATAAAGAGGACATACAAATGAAAAATAATATTCATCTTAACAGCGGTATGACAGTTTATACAATATCTCTCATCCTTTGGAATAATTTGATCACAATATTTGTGGGCTTTTACTCTTAATCGAGTAAAAAAAAAAACAACCAAACAAACAAAAAAAAAAACATCCCCCCACCCCACCCACCCCAACCCCTAATAAAACACCCGAAAAAACCAAGGTTCCTTGAAATGAAAAATCTAGATACAGTTGAATATTCAGTTTGTTTAAATTTAGTGAACTTATTGATTGGCTGTAGAATCTCAATCTTTGACATGTTCGATGTCTCTGAAAACTATATTTCTATATTAATTACTTTTTGTCTCCCACTTTCATTGAAAGTGGGGGATATTGATTTGGGTCTGTCTGTCCGTCCGTCTAGCTGTATTTCTGTCTGTCTATAAGACTTTCGTTATCTCGAGAAGCCTATGAGCTTTTGCAATGAAATTTTACATAACAACTCTCTATGGCTTAAAGAAGACCCCCGCTGATTTTTAGGTCAAAGGTCATAAATTCTGTCTGTCTGTCTGTTTTCACACTTTCATTTGAGGGCGATAGATCTAGAGGCCTTTGAGCTTTTGCATGAAATTTCATACCACAACTCCCTATGACCTTAGAAAGACCCCTATTGATTATTAGGTCAAAAGGTCATGGTCGTAAATTCATATGTACATTCTGTGTAACACTTTCGTTTCCGGGCGATATCTCAAGAAGCTCTTGAGCATTTGCAATGAAATTTTATACCGTAACTCCCCATGGCCCCGCCCGCCCTCTCAAACTGTCCCGCCCCTTTTTTGGTTTTTAGTTTTGTTTTATTTCTTTTTCATTAAAAGTCAATTGGAAATTTGTTGGCATCGATCACGCTCAAAGTTTTAGGGTTACTATCCGTTTGTATTAAACAAACGAACATTATCTTAAAGATGGCTTAAGACCAAAAGCTGAAAGGTCAACCTTTTTTTTCTCTATCTGCAAAATTTTTCCATTTCTTCCATCCTCTTCCAGGCGCGGATCCAGGAATTTTTTCTAGGGGGGTCCGCCTCAGTCAAAATATTTCCAACCCAGAAACTTCTTGACAAGCAAACAACAAAAAACAATAAAAACAAGAGGCCCATGTGCCAAATGCTCACCTGAGTAACTTTGGCCCTGATGTTCTTCACAAGATTTCCCCATTTTTAAAACCATTTGTGGCCCCACCCATGCCGGCGGTCATGATTTGTATAATTTAGAATCCACACTTCCCCAGGATGCTTTCACAAAAGTTTCAGCTTTTCTGGCCCAGTGGTTCTTGAGAAGAAGATTTTTAAAGAATTTTCATAATTATATATTTCAATGTAAAATTTGGATTCCAAATTGTGGCCTTGCCTTAAATCCGGGGGTCATGATCTGAACAATTTAGAATCTAGACTACCCAAGAATGCTTCTGTATAAGTTTCAACTTTTTTTTTTTGGGGGGGGGGGGGCAGTGGTTCACTGAAAAAAAGGTTATTTAATGTTCCCACTCTATATTTGTCTTTTCTTGATGATCTCCACATGTAAGGCGGCTTGGTCCCTCATTTTAACAATTTAAACTCCCCTTCACCCAAGGATGCTTTGTACCAACTTTTGTTAAAATTGGCCCAGTGGTTCTTCAAAATAAGTTGAAAATACGAAAAGTTTACATATGGACGGACGACGGGTGAACAGAAAAGCTCGCTTGAGCTTTCAGCGTGAGCTAAAAAAACCAAAACAAAACAAAACAAAAACAAACAAACAAACAAAACAAAACACCCTAACTCCCTTTTATAAACCGCGCGTGAAAAACCTATTTCTTAACAGGGGTCCATGTTTTCTTATGGAGGGGGGTCCAAAATTGTTTTTTTTAATTTGTTTCAATATATACATTTAATAACTCTGCAAATCAGGGGAGGGGACCCCCCCATCCGCACTCCCTCTTCTTATTTCCTTGAGCGGGGGACACAAATTCTCTGAATTAGCTTGTTCAAATTATTTTCAAAATTATTTATAGATACTGTGTTAAATTAGCGTTTGAACTAATAACATCACCAAGTATTCTTCGTATTGAGTTTTGCCAAGAAGTTTTACCATTTCTTACAAGTTTTTCGTCCTCTAAATATGCAAGTTTAATTTCAGTCAGTAAAATAACTTTCTGTACTCTGTATTAATATCTATACAATAATTTATATATTCTGGAAATAATGGAAAGAGCACCAAACTATCACTGCTTGATTAGAAGAACTGTTATGAACCCCTAAATTGTTTTTTAAGATGAAAGTTTTATATTTTTTTTCAAATTGAGTTTTGTCAAAGTCTTTTCTCATTTGTTTAAAATCACTAATCCAAATTTCCGAAGCGTAAGTTGAAATAGGTATGCATGATTCATATATTTTAAATTTAATCTTTCCAGAGAGACTGATATTGCTTGGTAGTTTTGATTTAATAGTAAAATATGATTTCCTTGTCCTATCTGCTAGATTTCTCACTTTTCCATAATTTTTAGGGCAACGCCGAAATATCTATATTCATCAACAAAATCAATAACATATTTTCTTTATATCTCATTTTTACAGCTCACAAACTTTAATTATTTTGCTCTTCTGTTCTGTTTTTGCATAAAATTTTCCTCAACCTTATATACTCATATTATATGTTAGTAAACATATGCATACTGACAATGGGTGTTTACCTCTGAAAAATCTGTCATCTAACAAATTGTGTAAATGTGCAACATCATCAACAGATTCCTCTTCAAAAATTGCATCAAAATATCTTTCTTTGTAGTTTTCCGACCAAATAAAAATACCAGTGCAAAAAATGGAATTATCATAATTTACGCTAATGTTTCGAGAGGAAAGCTTGATACTTTTTGATAGTTAAGACAATGATCAGTTAACTAATTGGAAAGGGATATACAAAAGTGTTCAATGTAAGTGTACGGTATGATACTTGCTTACATGTAGTGAAAGGTTCTTTTGCTATTTGAATTATAAAGAAATTTACCATTCGATAAACGAAGATTATTTAAAATCTCTGTTAATGATTCATGGTAATTAAGTTTTATCTAGCTGGTGACGATAACGAAAATGATTCCATTGGAATGAATCGCGAAGGGGACAACCAGAAAAAGATTCACTTAAACTGTCCTGACTAATACAATCCAACAAGTTTCCAGTTCTTGCATTAAAATAACCACATATGTCTGTCCATCATTGAAAAATCTTAAATTTCATTCTCAAGTTCCAAAAAGTTTAGTTCAGATGTTTTCTGTCAGTGTACGATTTCATGTAAGAGAAACAACAATAAAAGTAATTATCAAATAGTAATCCAGTTGTTTTATTAATTTTTAAACAAACAGAAAGCCATTTTCTTACAATCTCAATGAATAAGGTTTTACGTGTCGTGGGAGATTTCCTGGAGACACCTTGTTCATGTTTTAACATAACAAAATACTTAAAACATCATATTAAAAATGAAGTGATTAAAAAAATCGTGATCTAATTTGTTGAAATTTAGACCGTGGACATTCCAAAATCCAATATGTTTAACACAAAGATAACTATATACGAGGGGTTATCAGAAAGTTCGTGGACTGAGGCGATAAAATTAATACTGTCTGTGATTACACAAATTATAAAGAACATAAATCAACAAAACTTTAAGAAATGTTGAAAATTTTAGCTTGATACGTTGATAATTTGCCAAATTATTATCAAATAAAAAAGACATTGTATGATCACCTGGCGCTTTCGCCGTTTAGTTTTATGACGTCCGACTTCATCGATTTTAAATGTCCGCTCTCTCTACCTCATACACTTTGATGAGATTTCCTGGAGTTAAGTAAGGACTTAACCCCGTCTTTTTTATAAGACTTAACAATCGCATGAACAGCTGTTTTCAATGCATATAATATTGTAAATGGATCTATACATAAGGAAAGATCCTTATTTGATAAAGCCAGCATAATTTGCTTGTCAGAGTTCAATGATCAACGTTTCTTTTCTATGTGACTGACTTTTGACACCCTGAGTACATGTCGACATTAACTGTGCATCTCGTCTCTCCGTTCAATTCTTATCAGCATTTAAAAAACAAGTACTCTGGATGCATTTTATTTCTTTGTAGCCCGTTTTAATATTTCTTAGGTCTATTTCGGTTTTTTCCTGGGGCGAAACTTTATATAATGTTGGAGAAAGAAACCCCTCCCCCTTTTTGACGTCATTTTCAAGCCTTCGTTTGGACACTTCATTTAAAATTTACGATTAAATTTCATAGAACTTACAGAATGAGGTAAAAATTGCAAAAATTACGGAACAATCGTGTCATACCACATAAATGAATTCACGGGATTTTTGAATGACAATTCTCATAACAAAAGAGTTTTTTCTCAATTACACTCAGGTGGGAAAAAAACGTCATTTTGGAAGTTGCGCCGCCTAGACATACCATTTTTCACAAAAGCATTCACAATTTATTGAAAAATAAAACTTATAAATCATGGTTTATTATATAGATAGAAAAGATGATGCTAACTAATTGTGTTAAAATGCATTGATGTACCTAAAGCGGTTTTTAGTTTATGGCGCTAGTTCATGAACTTTTTGATAACCTCTCGCATGTCAATTAGTAAACAACCTTAAAAAACAACAAGTCTACAGTCAGTATTTCAGAATAAGAATGCAGCACTATAAAGTATGATAGTGCATCAATGTTAGTTACTGGTAATTTTAATACAACTGTGATCAACACTTTGTAGTAATTAAGCATTGTGCTAACATGTAAATCTCTTTAAACAAATCATATTTCCTCAGATACAAGCGTCTATTCATAAACCTTGGAACTAGCAGTGAGCAAATTTCATAAGTAAATGTCTCATTTCCATAGAACTGAGACGAATTTATATTATCATAATACACACTAGCACTACCGTCTCAGAAGATGAAATAATGAATACATCAATATTATTTGGATAAAAGCACACTTTATATACCTCAGGTATTTTCATACTGAACAAGTTCCAGCAGTCTTTGTAATACATATGCGTATTTTTTTTTTTTATCTGATTAGCTGAAGTTCACTAAATACTTCATTCATTCTTGCATCATTTTCTAAAATTGGCAAGTTGGTTTTGATGAATGATCACACGGCAGTTGCAAGATTGTTTTAAAAAAACTTGGGCAACAGGAAATGTGGTGGACTGTGTATGTATACTAAACAACTGTGTGACTACTAAGCGATATAAATGACAAATCATTCATCAATGATTTTTGATTGCGAATGAGAATATTGAGCGGGGTCTTAGCAATTTTGCCTAGTGTAATTTTGTTCAGTTTTTAAACGTGCTCCATATTTTGCCAGATACATGATTATCTCTTTTCTTTGATTCTTAAAGGCATATTCACAGGGATCGTCACCTTCAAAGTCCGTTTTATTAACATTTGCTCCATTTCGAACTAAATGTTCAACTATGTCGAGTTGTCCATTTTCCGATGCAATATGAAGAGGGGTTCGTCCATTTTTATCAGCTGCATTTACATCAGCATGCTCAAGGACTAGAAGCTTCAAAATATCGTAGAGATTGTTTTCAGCTGCGTAATGCAATGGTGTCATTTTGTTAGTGTCAGCCGTGTTTATCTCTACTCTCTTGTGGAGCAATATTCTGACAATTTTTTCCTCCTTCCTCTCTACAGCGTAGCATAAAACACTTCTTTGTTCATTATCTAACTTGTTCAGGTCAGCTTTGTTTTTTACTAAAATATCAAAGACTTCTGTATTTTTCATTGTTATTGCTAAAAATAAAGGAGATTGAATTCCTGGATTACCATCAATGTCGGCTCTGGCACCATTTTTCAGTAAAAACTCAAGTATTTCACTGTTTTGAAACTTCTCAACAGCCATAAGTAAAGGTGTCTTATTGTCATTATCACAGGAATTCACATTTGCACCATATTTCACCAAATGTTCAACCATTTCCAAATTACTCTTTTCTACAGCCAAATGCAAAGGTGTTTTATGGTTTGAGTCACCTTTATTTACCAAAGACTGGCTTCCTTTCTTGATCAAATATTTGACAAGTTCAAATGAATTGTTATCTGCTGCCAAATACAAGGGTGTTCTCTCAAACTTATCATAAATATTAACATCTGCTCCTAGTTTCACAAGTCTTTTTGTTGTCTCAATATAACACTTGTCCACAGCCACAAATAAAGGCGTTTTTCCATCAACATCTCTGTGGTTTAAATCCATGGATTTTGTGTTTAATTTTTGCATCAGTAGTCCAACCACATCAATGTGTTCATTTTCTAAAGCATTAATCAAAGGAGATTTTTCTTTGTTATCAAATTTATTTAATTTTGCACCTCCTTTTAAAAGCAACTCTGTTATATCTTTAAATCCAGATGTAGAGGCTGTGTTCAAAGGAGTAACATCATTTCCATCAACGCAATCAACCTTGGCTTTTTTGTCTAAAAGTGTTTTAACGAAGTCTTCATTCCCTTTCATTGCAGCCAAATGTAAAGGGTACCTGCTTTCAATGTCATGCGCATTGACATCAACTCCCTCAATTTTCAGTAACGTTTTAGTGATATCTTTATGATTTTTCTCCATAGCTACCAGTAGAGCCGATCTTTTCTTATGGTCAACATCATTTATGAGGACTTGTTTTCCTAATAGATCATTGACTAAATCTAAATTTTCCCTAGCAATAGCAACATGCAATGGCAAAATAGTGGCTTGATCATCGAAGAACAATGTTTTTAATTTTGAGTAGCGTACATCTGTCAATGTTGTCATTTTAAGATGTTGTAGGACATTTTCAACAATGTCCACACTTCTGAAGCAAGCAAGCATAATGCAACGATTTACGTCTGTGAGACGGTTCTGGTTTGAGGCAAGTCTTAGTATTTTGTCAATAGCTTCATATCTGCCATAAGAAATAGTCCAGTATACAAAATTTGTAGAAAGTACTGTAAAACCATTTGGTTGTGATTCTATACCATCACCCCACTGTCCACTAAACAGAAGTTCAAAACGTAACATTTCTATCTCATTCCAGATAGTATCACACTGCTCATTTGGTTTGCTGGAATTTTCAACTAAACGATGATTGTCAATATAAATTGGGTACCTTTTATCTCCATACAAAATTTCTGTCATTTCATTCTGTGAAAGTACATTCGTAAAAACATCAATAAACTCATCATGCATCCAATAAGGTAACCTGATAACATCTGACATGGCACACATGTCATCTGATGTTAAATATTCGTGCAAACTTTTGACGAGTATTGGATATTGTTCTTTGTCAAGTAGTTTCCAACACTCACCAGCACTGGCACTAAATGGACAAACATGACTACAGATAAGCTCATTTCCAGCACATTTAAGAAATAATTGTGGATCATTTTTCAACATGTGGCAGATGCATGCATCTATAATGCACTCATGTTTGCAAAAGCACACAGTAACATCTCCCATTCTTTTGCGTCTTAAGTATTTAGATTTTTTAATTGCTGATTTCATCCCTTCGGTAAATTTTTCTTTTGATAAATTGTTTTCAAGAATTTGAGATACATTTTCTTGTGCACATAGTAATGACTGTTTCAAAATTAAATTCCTGTGTTGTGCTAACAAAATCAAAATATAAAAATCATACATGTGATTTTGACCGTCATTGAAGTAGATTCCAATTTGATTACATAGCCTCTGTAAGTAATAATTTTCACTGGCCTCGTCATTTTCCGATAGACCAGACTGAACTTTATCTACATGGAAAATTTCTTTTAGTAATCTAGGTGATTTTCCCAGGTAAGTTTTGGTCATGCGAATTATATTCTTTAAATGATCAATGTGAAAGGCTCTAATTTCTTCAAATATATCAGATCTACATGTCATGATAACTTTTGTTTTCCTTATCAATTGGTGAAAAATGTTTTTGTGCAAAAGAAAGTACACCAGATTAAAAATGTTCACACTAGTTTTTCCAAATGGATGATCAAATATAAGTAATTTTTGCTCAGAGGTTGGAAAATTATCTTCAATCAACAGCTCCTCCATATTGAAAATCTGGTATATATCCCATCCCTTTCCCTCCATTTTTAATGCTATGTGTCTTGCTGTGAATGTTTTTCCAACTCCTGGTGGACCAACTAGGATAACTACATGTACATCTGTCTGATCTAACAATGTCATTATTTTTGTTGAGAATCCCTCTTCAGGTTCCTCATAAATGCTGTCATCATTTTTCCACTCTTCTTTGTTGTAAAAATCTAGGAGAGGAAACAATATGTACATATATATCAAATGTCTTCATTAATATTGATACCCTCTTGTCTGGTTAAAAGAGTTCAAATATCTAAAGACTAGACATAAGGTAATGTAACACAATTAAGAAAGTAAGAGTTAAATAAATGTTAAAATAAGGAATTTAATATTCCTTTCATATATAGAACTGAAACCTTTACTACAGTAATTGCCTTATGTAGCAAGGTGTGACTAGCATTTTTTTTATATTTCTAACGGTTGAATGAAGTCTTATTGTTTGAACTTTCCCTTTCATTCTCTCTATCTGCTAGCAAGTTTACATTTGATCTCATTGAGTATAAATGGTTGAAATGCTCTCACTGAGCTTCATTCTACTGTGAATGGAGTTTTTTGAATTATCTTTTTTTGGAATTCAATAAGATGAATTCACAGCAAATGATGAAAAAAACCAAGTTCAAGTTCATAAAGAATATCAAGGTCAGCTCTCACGAGGGTTGTCCCAGAAAACGCGAACATTTTCAATATTTTTTGTTTCACTAATATTATAAAGTTAAAAATTGGCATGCATTTTAATCAACATTTTTTAAAAATAATTCACAGAAATTTCAGTAAAATATCTGTATAAATAACAATTTTCTCTTTGGTAAACGAATCATTCAAAATAGCTGCCGGCGCAACTCCGAAGACGTCAAAACTAAGCTCGATGAGTTTTGAATTTGTCCAAGAATCGTGCGTTTTTAAAAATTTGTTTAAAGCATAAATTCGATACATTTTAATTTCTTTTAGTAACCGAGTTATCCATTTCACACATACTACGGTTAAGAATAAATCGAGGAATAAATTCTTTTAATAGACAATTTCCCAACCCCTATCATAAACCTAACTGTTCAAACAGTTAACGGTAGTCTCCATGTATGACGTCCAGCTCTAGCCTTTTCCGTTTGTCGTCATTTTTGTTGATCTACCAAACGCTTCTTCCATCGGATAACCAAATGAATCCATTCATCTTTGAACCTCTTTTACTATGTATAAACCTGTGATCGATATATGTATTTGTGTCGTTCCCTCTTTCCCAGCTCTTTTTCCGTATGAACAGGAGTCAAGCCCCGCTCCACACAACACTGAGTGATGTTTTTGGTGCGCTGCATTATCGCTAAACGTCACCGTTTTTGGTAATATCTAATTAATAGTGTTTTGTGCAATGCCATATAACGTCAAATGTTTGTTATTTATGATGTCAGAGTATTGATTTTTTAAACACGGATACTCTAGATCATAAAGTATCTTAGGATATGATTTTTGGCACATTATATTTCCGTATAGCCTGGTAATAAAGAAAACATAGCTGTCAATATTATTTTTGAAAGTCAAGAAATTGCCGTGCATCGACCATCGCTATTTAACACACTTTAAATGTTGTTTATAAATGCATATGGCATTGGAACCTTATATTATTTAGCCAAAATGACAAAAATATCATTTCTAAGACTTAACATTATGCCAAAAATGAATAATTTTGGTCAGGTAGTTTTTGAAATATTTAAAAAGTTTTCTGGGACAACCCTCGTATATTTGATGAAGTTTGATTTTAAAATCTTTAAAAGTAAAGTTCAAGGTTTTCTGGAAAATCAAAATTATTACACAATTTAATTCTTCTTACCAACATGACTAATATGTATCAAAGTATGGATTTTGATGAAAATCTTCGCTAAAGGCAAAATATTATGGATGGAAGAAAAAATGATTGACATTATAAACACTTTTTGCCAAATTATATTCATGATGGGGCACAACAAAGCCATATGTTGTAATTTTTATCTTAAATTCATTGGAAAACTAAATGTGTTAAACTTACCTTCTACAACATACACTGGTAATTTTTCACTCTTTAATTTTCCACATGCATTATCCAGTAACACACAGCAATAAACTCCAGAATCAAGTTCCGTTAGTTGGTGGATGAGCAGCTCATATGTTCTTGTGTTTTCATCTACTTGTGTACACTGAAGGGTATACTTGGCATTGTCAATATGTATAGTAGAAACTATTTCTTTTTCACCTTCCTTTTTAACTTTCTGCCACTGAACAGTAAGACACTCCATTGAAATATTTTCATTTTTTCTTTGCATTCTTGCTTTGAGTTTTATATTTTTGTATTTCTTGCATAATGGTAACATAGGTGGTGTTTTCACAAGGCAGATGTTTGCCGTTTCTGTTAAAGAAGGGAAAAATAAACTAAAAGTCATTTGATTTTCTCCTTCTCTCAACTGAATATTGTAGAAATGAATACATTTTAGAAATATATATATATATATATATATATATATATATATATATATATATATATATATATATATATATATATATATATATATATATATATATATATATTGTACATGTTATCAATTTAAGTTTGTGAAATTCGTTAATGATTGTATAAAGCAAAAAAAAAATTAAGAATTGGGTATATCTTAATGACCTACACACAATGACACTCATACTCACTCAGACTGAGGTTACGTAAAATAATGGCAGATGAAAAATTAATCAAGACTTAAAAAGTGAAAATATTCAATTTTTTTTAAGATACTTTGTATGATATTTACTTAAAAAATCATAATCACAGTCTGGAAAAAGTCTAAGTAAAAATGCAATCTCAGAAAAAAAAAACATTTAGAGATAATTCAGGATTGAAATAAAGTTCTGCATGGAGTACAAGCAATACAAAGTTTCCCTTTTATCAAGGACAATTAGGCCCTATAAATTTGTTTTAACCGAAGGAAATTAAAAAAAAAATCTATGCAAGATATATAAGAAAATTTAATATATTTGAAAGTGTTGAAGATGTTACTGATGCTATCCCCTATAAAATGAGTTTCATGGTAGCTCTTTTAAATTATTAAAATTTAATTATTAAAATTTGATAAATGCCCCCATCCCCACCACACCTCAACTGAAAATTTTGTATAGTCAATTAGTTTAAAAAGATCTATGACATGAACTGTATAAGACCTTCCATTGAAGATTGTCAACCTTTACCTTTGCATATCATTGCTTATCATGGCCATATGTAGACTTCTAAAATGTACATTTTGTATCATTAACTCTGACTATTCAAATCACTGGATCTACTACTTGTGATTTCACAGTCACAAACTGATTTACAAGGTCGTGTTTAATATTACTTAAATATATTCTGTATCTTGAATTACATAAATTGTTTTGTTTCACGTGCTTTTTACAGGCATATATATACACAGAAAGGATAAACTGGAATCTTTCTGACAAATAATGTGAAGTCTATACTTATCCATCTTACCTAAGTTATACTGACAATCTGCAGACCAGCCTAGAGCATTTGTAAGGGTACACTGGTACAGCCCCGAGTCTGTGATGTTGTAGTTTTTAATGATTAAACAGGCAGTATCCACATCAGAGAATTTTTCATCCTTGGTAGTAAGTAGTTTATTATCTCTTTTCCAATGTATAGATAACTTGACACATGATTTAGATACCTTACATTTTAGAACCAAATTGCTTCCTCTGACTTCTTTACCAATAAATTCAACTGCTGGTAGATCTGTGCAAAATATATCAAGAGATTAAAAAATATAAATCTAATTTATGAAAATGCTTTACTTTCCATGTGTTTAAAAATCAAAATTTATCTGAATAGAGTTATAATTGAAACTTTCCTTAATTTACATCAGATGCATCAGAAGTGTACATGTTTGAAAGTCAATAAACATTTACCAATAAAAAATAGAGTTATGTTCCATGTTTTATCACTGTTTGTTCTAACACACTGGAAATTTCCAGCATCGTATACAGAGACATTGTGTATAATCAAGCTTTGCTCTCTCTCATCTCCTCCAGAATATTTAGAACCATCCATTTGGAGAATTGTACCATCTTTTTTCCATTCAACAGAGTGTAGCCCGTCAGTCAGGGACGTTTCAGTAATGTATAGCTTTATTGATTCAGAATCAAGTATCTCGACTTCACCATTACCTGAAAAAAAATTATTTATTTTTTCTCATCATAACTCTTTAAAATTACCAAATTTAAAGTTTTTCAATGCCTTTTTTTATCTGTATGTTTGCCTTACATTGTATGTGTATTTGGAATAATTTTTAAATTCAATGTCTAAAATATTGTTCCTTCCTGACAAATAATTAATTTTGTTCTCAAATATAACCCCTTATTTTTGCCATCACTTTGACACAAATTTTGAGAGAAATTAAGGGTACTTTGGGCACTGAGCTCAAAAAATTATACCTCCCCCACTCTTCCATATGATAATTAAAGCAATCTCCCCCAAAAATTGAGTTTATAGGAGCAAGGGGTATGATTGTACCATTTTATGAGCTCTGTGCTAACAGTACCTGTAGTTCTGACCTTTGAGTGTTGGTTTCCTATTTTGACTTTGTTTTGACTTTGACAAATTATAGCTTTGCTGCTTAACAAAAGTTTAGATTAAGTCTTAACAAACTAGAATCTTAACAATACATGGAGATGAGGCAGTATGTAAATATAACATATGACTTCTTCATCATCAGATTTCTAAATATTTCCTCAATGCATCAAAATTTTTGGCCTTTTTTATATTTTGTTCCAACCTAGGGAGAACAAGTTGAACAAGAGGCCCAAGGGCCTTAACGGTCACGTATAATACAACACTGTAATTTATAAGGATCCATAAAAGTATAAAACAAAATTAAGTGACAGATGCTGTGCTGCCCAAGAATTTCAAAAGTGTGGTAAAAATACCCTTGCTTATTGTAACATGTGAGACCCCAGTGATCCCCTTGGGATCGTACTTGGTTTTCCCAAGTCTTACAGGGATGATAAGACACATACAAATACAAATACAATGGACACTTGCCTAAATGCCTTGTGTAAAGCATTCAATATATACAGATGTTTTTGTCATTATTAAGTAAACAAAGAGAAATCTCTGATGCCTGTATATTTATTCTAGATGATGCCTCTTAGATACACAAACAATGTAGCTGCTTGCCACTTGGTAAAACTTGTTACCAGCACTCCCCACTTGTCTATACAACGTGGCTATTTGCCACTTGTCAATAAGTACAACATATCGCCTAGTCACCCTGGCTCCCTGATCACTTGTTCAATTTGATAAAGTATGAAACAACTTTATGCAGAGTCTTGCCTACTAAACTCTGATCCATGAATTTACCTAACAATAACTCGACATCAATTCAATTGTCAAACAGGACACTACAGTACAAAACATATTAAGTACAACTGCTACATAAATAATCTTTATGTCAATCTTTTAAATTGCTTTCCAGGCAAGAATCCGACCTTGAGTATGCTTCACTTGTTTAAACCAAACATTCGTTTTTATTCTGTTTCTATACACTATAACATTTATTCTTGTATTCTCATTCAATCAAATAACATTTAATTAAATTATATACAAGGATTTCTTGATTTAAAACAATTTAGAGAAGGGGAGTAACTCTGATTTGCTTCACTTATTACAATTTTGTATACTGTTTGCCTCCTACATACCCAGGAGCAGAGAAAAGCCACATTTACTTATATTTATATTCACACATTTACATTTATACAAATAGGTAGCAACTGTTCCTTTGCCACGCACTTGGCACTTTGTAGTGAAAGTTGCAGGTCCTTCGGATGAGACCTTAAAAACCGACTTTTAAAGATTGCATTAATTTTGATGGTTTTAGCCCCACCCCCCAGGCCCCAGGGGGCAGAGGCCATGAATTTCTTACTCTCCTTCACCCATAATTGCTAAATGCCAAATTGACTGAAATTGGTACAGTGGTTCCAGAGAAGAATCTGAAAATACTCAAATGTTAAAGCACGACACATGCCAACAGTCAATCAGGTATCCTAAGACAACAAGTAAGGCCAGTGTGACTTTCAAACATTATTATAAAAAAACTATAAAAAACAAAAAAATAAACACTCCTGCTTTTTTTTTTTTAGAACAGAGTAGAACATGTACAACTATGTTCTGGATGGAGCCATGTACATTGAAAGAAGAAGAAAAACAGTGTAACTACAACCTTAGCAAAATAGAAACAGTAATCAAAAATGAGCCCTCCAGAATTCTTTTTAACAATACAGAATATTTTGTTTTAAATCTGTGTCATAAATTACTTCAGGTTAATGTATTTCTGATCACAATTACTTTTGGTAGGACCTACATGGTTGTACAATGTATCAACAAAACCTCAAATAAATTTTGATCCCTCCTTTATCATGATTATCTCCGTTTTTAAATAGTGATTGGGGGAAAACCGTTATGATCATGTCATTTTTAAGATATAAATGAACATGTACTTCTTTCTAATAAAATTATTCCTTAAGATGTACTTATTGATCCAATTTAATTCAATGAACTACATGTATCAATCATGAAAAGAAACTTCAGAGAGAGAATTAGTAGTATATGGTCACTATTTTAGTGGTCTTATTGGCTGGGGTCAAACTTCTAGGTCATAAATTGACGTAATGACCAAAAATTTTACTTGTGATAGGATAACAAAAAGTATCTTAGCAGCAGATATGTAGCTCACTGGTCTGAAAAAGAATGGGATGGACGACCAGAGAGCTACAGAGCCACCCATTGAAAAAAGTGTATATTTATTGCACACAAAAAGTTGCGCTGTTTCTTGATTTATTTCTCTGTATATTTAAGCTGCCATCTCAAAATATTACTAACTATGTGTTCCTTACATATTCTTTTACTACCTAAACAACAAAACATTCCCCAAAACTGTTGTTAATAGCCCCCTGGACCTGAAATTTTGGCCATCGAAATTTTTGCCTATTTATTCTGTTATTTTTTGTGACAAGCCCATTTGGTCCAACGCGCTTTGTGCATGATCGACTCGTACGCAGTTTTGTTGTGGAAGTAGAAAAAAAATATGTAAAGAACACACAGTTAGTAATATTTTGAAAAATACGGAGAAATAAATTGAGAAACAGCGCAATTTTATGGGGGTGCAATAATTATGCACTTTTTTCAACAGCTGGCACTGTAGCTCTCTTGTCGTTTGTCCCAGCTTTTTTTTTCAGACCAGCGAGCTATATATCTGCAACTTAAAGTAACCATCCACAAATTTTACCTACATGTACCAATAAAATTGTACTTTTTCCTTATCAAACCATGAAATTTGCAAAACCCTCAAAAAAATTTATTAAATGAAACCTTAAAAGATGATTATTCAGAACATGAATATATAATCATGTTTATATAAATATATGAATATTTGTCAGCAGTAAAAAAATGTACATGCGCACGTTTCTGTAAATGAGGTAAAATATCATTTTACCTATTTCGAATGCTTTACTGTTAGATGTTTCATCGGTGTACGCTATTTCACATTGGTAATTCCCAGCATCTTCTACAGAGACATTGTGTATAACCAAGCTTGGCTCTCTCTCATCTCCTCCAGAATATTTAGAACCGTCCATTTGGAGGACTGTGCCATCTTTTTTCCATTCAACAGAGGTCAGCTGATTGGTCAAGGTAGTTTCAGCAATGCAAACCAGCTTTATACTACATCCACAATCAAGAATTTCTACGTTTCCAATCATTTTTCTTGGGATATCTAAAACAATTTCCAATGGTTTATGAAATTTAATTTTTTTTTAATTTAATGTCTTTAATATTTTGTTTTGATTATATTTAATACCTGTAATCAGATATTATATAAATGTCAGTCCTTATATTCCTGACTATCCAAAAAGAATCTAAATCTGGTATATCTAAACTTCATTCTCATGAACAATTTTGACCCAATATTTTGGCCCTGCTCTTGGCAAAAGGGAAAGACAAACTAAAATAAACCTGCAAATTTGAATCCAAACTTCAATATTAATTTGATTAGCATGGACTGTCCTGTGAAGTTTTTCAGTCATTCTACAAAAACTTAGCCAATTAAGAATTTTTATGTCACTTACAAATTTACCGATGTAATATCTTAACTATAAATTTAAAGGTCAATTTCAACTCTAAGACTTAACATACACACATGGTTTTGTAATTATTTACCGATATATATGCAGTTAAAGTTTTGATATGAACATAATGTAATTTAAATGTTGAAAAACGTATTCCACTGCAAATCTTTATGTCACTTCATTTATTTACAAAGAAGAAGGTACGGTTTTAGCTTCATTGTGCCCTAAAAATCTAATGTTTTCAAAAAGGTTTGAAACTGGCTTAAATATTAGTTGAGTATGTGACTGTGAAAAATCAGGAAAGAATATGGCATGAAGGAGTACCATTCTGGAAATATGACGTATTTATTTGATTCATTCCTCTATTTTAAACAGAAAATGCCTCAAAATGACTCATTTCAAGGGTTATTTTCCTTAAGAAAATAGTTTCCACAGCCGTCGCCCACTTTAATTTTTGGATATGTTGTGTACAATTCTTTGAAAAATCACATATCTCAAAATCTTTGTGGGCGATGGCTGTGGACAATATTATCTGAAAGAAAATTCCATTGAAAATTGGTGTCTTCTGCAACTTTTTAAGAAAATACGGGAAATTGCTCAAGTTTATGACGTCACAATTAGCATTTAGAAAGGTTATGAGAGAAAAATGATTTGTATGATCTTTCTGCATGGAATTTCAATGATTCAAAAAGCATGAGTTTTAATTTTTCACATCACTTTCATTTTTAAGAAAAACACAGGGCAAGAATTGCATTGAAACCGTACCTTGTTCTTTCAAGAGGGAATTTTCAGCCATAAAAGCGTTCCGAATAGATTGCAAACAATGTTAAAAAAAAGTTTTTTATCCTATATAAAAAGAATTCAAACCACTTCTCGCAAAGTAATACATGGATCTTTTTTCATGCAAAATCATGCAAAATCATAAGCATGTCGCTAAAAACTTCCGTAACGATTTTGTTTTTAATTTCACGCACAGAATGCAGATTTCAAAAAGAACTGAAACTTAGCAGAAAGCGATCACGGAACCTAATATCATCGATTCTAGTTGCGAATCAACTATTTAGACAATTACATTTTCGACATAACAAAATGAATTGGACAAAAACAGTTGTCTCTCTTAAAAATTTAACTTCCGTAACGGTAATTTAGAAAAGTTTTTCCATTAAAGATATCTTTTTTTTTATTATTATTATTATTTTGGGAACGAAATGCTTCATACTTTTGTTTAATATCCTAAAACAAACTTTGATTTTAATTATTGCCGAGAATTTTAACTTTTATTGCTTGTAATTAACTTCCGTAACGATATTTTTCCCAAAGTTTTAACTTAATTTCGGATTCATGCGAAACCTCATGAATCATACTTTAGTGTTCTATACTGAACATCAGAAACGAAAAATTGGTCAAATTCAGCTTTATTTAAAAATAATAAGACTTGATCAAGCATTAACTTCCGTAACATTACCTTAAAATCAATGGTACTAGATGAAATTCCGCGCAAGCGCGGGAAATGGAATTTATACCACTACCGACAGAAAATATATTGTAGTTTCTACTGACAGCCTACAGACTTATAGCAGGAAGAAATACTTTGTTCAAAATCCCGCATGAAGTAGATGTACATCTCCACACACACCCTTTTTGTAAAAACTTGAAAAATAACAATTTCATTAATTGACATTTACTGTGAAACCTGTTATACTATGTTATGGATTGTACTTCAGATCCTCTTATTTCATTTCCGTCAAGGAGAAAAGCAGCAAATACTCACATTTTACTGATATATTTCATTGGGGGAGGGGGGGGGATCACAAGTACTTGGGTCTTGGTCTATAAATATGTATGTACCTTATTGATATGTAAAAAAAAATGTACTTTTAAATTACTTTTTTTACATATCAATAAGGTACATACATATTTATAAACCTAGGCCGAGTATTTGATACAAAAGACTGTATTCAGAAAAAAAACTGAAATGTATTGATTAAAGCACAAAATTTTACAGCTTTAATTAATTTGAACAATATCTTATTCATTAATTTCCTCTTTTCATGTAAGCAACTTTATTACGATGCTCTCTCATTCAAGAATACAATCAAATTTTACTGATAAAGGATGACTGCACTTAAGGACATGCGAAAATTGCGACAAAATAAACTTTCAAAACAAGCATTTTTCTTTTAATTGCACGAATGGTCAACATCTAATCTACAACTTTATGTAAATACATTAAATAAAAGTACGAATTTACGAAGTACGAAGCTGTTTTCTAAGGCGGGGGTCATCACAATTCCTAGAGTCTCCGTACGATAATGAGGACGCCCACTTTTTCACTGACTTTATACATAGTCAGCGCATGTTTGTCTATTGTTCTCCGTTTAACAGTAGTTGTATATTTGCGTTAATAATGTTGTGTCAAAAGGAGATTAATAGACAAACATGCGCTCATGGTTTAAAAGAGAAAAAAAAACTGCCTCTTCTTACATTCGCTCTCTCTGTTGTGACCAAGGGCTGTGACATGTTGAATATTATAATTCACCAAGTGATTTCTTACCTCAGGTAACTCTGTGAATACTAAATTCCGTCACGTGACTTGTAAAGAAGCATGTTTTGTGCTATAGGACAAAGTGCTCGAACACGTTAAATTGTTAGGCATTGATTTACAAGATTCTTTACTTACATGGATGTCGCTCATATTGTTAATTTCGTTTTTGAAACCTCTGAAAATAATGTACTTGTTCCATACAGAATAAAGAGGGAATGGGAAAGAGTGATCTCGTATTTTTTAATACATATCATTGTTATTTATCTAGTCTAATTTTAGACCCATTCTTACAATATTAGCTCCACCTCTCATGCATACCTAATATTTAATCAAGGGCAGGTAAGTGTAAATTTTCTATATTTGGAAAGAGTAAGGACAGAAAACATAGAATCATTTTATTGTATCACAGTCTAAGATCGTTTTAATATTTGAATTAGGTTCGAAATTGACAGGATTCTTTCATAAATATATAAAATAAAAAAAAATTATGATATGAAAGCAACAGAAGCGACCGAAAAAGACCCAAAACCCGGCGTTAAGTGCAGTCATCCTTTATTGGGAAAGCCTACTACATAATTATATGTTATTGTCTTTCAATATATAAATATATATTCATTACTTAAAGTATTATCAATAATTTACCATTATTTCAATGACCATTCACTCAAAAGCTTTTTTTTTTACGTTCATGCAGCTATAATCGCCTCGTTTTTCTTTTTTGCATCGGGCTCGATGCTATATGATGTTCTAGAAATTTCCGTCTATTAAGATCAGTGAATGACGAAAATAATTTGCACATTTCCCTTTTAAATCGGTTATCACAACTTATTTCTTTTATATCATTTAAATCAAGTTTTGATTGATTAATTCAGTGATGACATTTTATGAAATAAATAAACGATTGCTTGTTGTCAGTTTTATTAAAAATTGCCAGTAACTTAGATCCGCCAACCGGAAACGCCACAGTACTCACGTTTTTGCTATTTCATGGCTGTTTATAGAAAATGAAAGTAGACTTTTAATTTAATGTACGATACTTACTATGTGAGTGAAATCTAAATATAGTTTACGGACATCATCCTGTATTTAGTGTATTGTTAGAGGAGTTACTGTAAGTAAGAACTCTGATGCACCCATTTCGGAGTTTATTTGCAAAATTTATTAATTTATAAGTATATAGATATTGAAATTATTGTAAAAAGTCAACGATACCAGATTTGTGGAAAATTCTTTTTATTCAAGTTCTCTGATATGTCCTTTAGATAATTATGATGTTCATTTTGCTATTCTAAACAATTATTTTATTCATGTTTTGTACCCTGAATTGGTCCATTTATCGTAGAATGACTGTTTTAAAGATTCTTTTTTCCTGTAAACATGCATTCATTTTTAAATTCTTCATTCTTCATTCATCCTTTCTTTGTTACATGTAGTATGGTTAAGGGTTGCAACTATTGCAAAAGAAACAAATTAACTCAACATGTAACCCGCTTGTGGAGGAATAAATTAAGAAAGAGCATTTTCTTGTTTAAATATTTAGATTCATTTGAAGAGTCACAAATAAGGAATCTTATATTTGAGTTGACTGACATTGATTATAAGTTTTACATGTAATTAAACAATATTTCCAACTACAGTCAAACCCTGTTATCTCAAACTCGATGGGATGGAGAAAAAACTTCAAGATATCTGAGAGTTCAAGATATCGAGGGTAAAATACTTAAGAAATATGTGGTTCAGACATCCCCATAACTTCGACATATCCATGGTATTCAAGATATCTGTGTTCAAGATACCAAAGTTCAACTGTATTAAAAAATAGATTTATCATAATAATGTTGATGCTGACACCTGAACGATATATACTTGAAATATGGAAGTTTTATCTAAATTTCAAGAAAGTATTACCAATGAGTGGAATCAATTCAGAAGAGTTGCCTTCTACAAAAAAAAACAAAAAACAGAAATATCAGTTGCAGCATAAATTCAAAAAAAACACGCAGCATAGTTAAGGCTATATAAAGTAGGCAGGATCTTAAATACACGGAAAATATTTACTATGATATCACACAAAAATAACATTTCTTCAAATTACCTCAAAATCAAATAATTTACTATTTTCAACTTACTAATGCACGTAGTTTTTTGTTATTTAAATCCCATATAGTGAGGTATAACATTTCACTGATCGCAATGCACTTGCAAATGTGATATATATTGTAGAATTTGACACAGTTTGTATGCAAAGAGAGCCAGATGAATAATATTTTACATAATGAAAATGTATTTTGTAATCAAATAAAATATAACATGTATTTGCAGATATTTACGAGGCCATTAACTTTGAGTGGATGGCTGTTTTATTCATATATTATCCATACATTTCCTAGTCAAGTGATACTGCAGCATGCCATATATTTGTCTGCAGATTCATTGGAGGATAAGAGATGGGTCTTAATACATCCATTTATTATACTTCTACTGTTATTACTATATAGATAATGAATACTATAAAAATGTCCATCTCCCTGGAAAAACACTACTTCCCCCATCTGAGGACTACTCCCTGTAAAACCAAAGGTTAGAGCAGAGCCTAGTAAGTATTAACAATTATAATGCTTTACTTATTCAACTTTTATAAATATTTCCTTATTTTCTAAATTCTGCATGTAAACGTACTCACTTTTTTTGTAACAAAACTGGTAAATAATCCCTGCAGCAACAATGCATCCTATAACCACAATCAATACAATCACTATAATTATGACTGTTGTGAAGTCTTCCTTAGTTGGATGTCCTTGATTTTCTGTGCTGGAGTTTGTAGTCTGGCTATTTCCTAGTATATCTATAGTTGTTGTTTCTGAGGCTCTCGTACTGAAACATTTCATACATACATGTGAATGAACATGTGTATACAACTAAAATAAAGTCTTCAAGACTGCTATGGTACTTTATTTTAGCTTAATTACAATTTCTATTTGAATTCTAAGGGCAATGTGAAGTAGCACTCATTAATATTTCAATCATTAAGTCAGCATCTCTTTAGAATGTCCATAATTATGATGGAGTAATAATGCCTAGGTAAATAAATAGAAGGGATTCATTGTCTACTGTAGCTGAGCATGCTTGTCTAAATGACTAAAAATTAAGCAGTAAGAAAATTTACAAAATTTACCTGTCAAATGCATCATCAGGAACACTAGGACATTCAGGGTCACTTGTGTAACAGCTATTGCTTGGATTGATCTTCAAACATGCAGGATCTATAAGAAAACTACATAATATGTAATACTAGTTTATAAAGGCTTTGGCAACTTATGTTTAATCTATATTATACAATCATTGCTGTTTTTGAGGTCAATATGATGATTTAGCCACCTGAGTAGTTCACAATATTCACTGAGCACTAAGGGCGAGGTGAATATTGTACTTGGAAGGTGGCTAAATCATTGTATTGACCTCAAAAACAGCAATTACTGTATAGTTTTATTATATGATTCAATAATTAAATGATACAAACTCATTAAGCAGTTCATGCCATCTTACTTGTTTACAGTGCTGAAGTCCTAGCTAAATGCAATAAAAGAAGCGGGGTTAAATAAACATTACCAGTCGTATTAATTTGGAATTTTTGAAATCTATTTTAATTGCTATGAAAAAAGAAAATTTGACAGGCTCTTCTATAGAATAGATTTTGAAAAGGGGGTGGGGCACTATTAGGGAAAAATGACAGCTAAAAAAACAAGATGTGTTTGTGAAACACTGATGTCCCCATATGGCAGCTTATGGCGAAGGTTAAAGTTTTTCAAAAGTAAGTCAAAATCCAAGCCAAAAGATGAAAAATGTTAAATTTGAAAGCCCTAGCTGCAACTGTTCAAAAGTTATGGCCAAGGTTAAAGTTTTTTAAAAGTAAGTAAAACATCAAGGTCAAGGTCAAAGTTGTTGGAATCCAAAGGAAGGTCTTGTCACAAGGATTAAATATGTAAAGTATGAAAGCCCTAGCACCAACCATTCAAAAGTTATGGCCAAGGTTAAAGTTTTTCGAAAGTAGGTCAAACTCCTATGTCAAGGTCAAAGGGTCAAAGTGGTTGGTATCCAAAGGAAGGTCTTGTCACAAGGATTACATATGTGAAGTATGAAAGCCCTAGCACCAACCATTCAAAAGTTATGGCCAAGGTTAAAGTTTTTCAAAATTAAGTCAAACTCCTATGTCAAGGTCAAAGGGTCAAAGGGTTGGTATCAAAAAGAATGTCTTGTCACAAGGGTTACATATGTGAAGTATGAAAGCCCTAGCACCAACCATTCAAAAGTTATGGCCAAGGTTAAAGTTTTTCAAAATTAGGTCAAACTCCTATGTCAAAGTCAAAGGGTCAAAGTGGTTGGTATCCAAAGGAAGGTCCTGTCACAAGGATTACATATGTGAAGTATGAAAGCCCTAGCATCAACCATTCAAATGTTATGGCCAAGGTTAAAGTTTTTCAAAATTAGGTCAAACTCCTAGGTCAAGGTCAAAAGGTCAAAGTGGTTGGTATCCAAAGGAAGGTCCTGTCACAAGGATTACATATGTGAAGTATGAAAGCACTGGCTCTAACCGTTCAAAAGTTATGGCTAAGGTTAAATTTTTTCAAAAGTAGGTCAAACTCCAAGGTCAAGGTCAAAGGGTCAAAGAAGTTGATATCCAGAGGAAGGTTTTGTCACAAGAAATACACATGTGAAGTTTGAAACCCCTACCACCAACTGTTCAAAAGTTATGGCCAAGGTTAAATTTTTTCAAAAGTAGGTCAAACTCCAAGGTCAAGGTCAAAAGGTCAAAGTTGTTGGTATCCAGAGGAAGGCCTTGTCACAAAGAATACACATGTGAAGTTTGAAACCCCAAGCACCAACTGTTCAGAAGTTATGGCCAAGGTTAAAGTCTTATAAAATTTTGCAAAAGTGGGTCAAACTCCAAGGTCAAGATCAAATATGATGGTACCCAAAGAAAGGTCTTGTCACAAGGAATATACAAGTGAAATATGAACGTCATAGCTCCAACCAATCAAAAGTTATGGCCAAGGTTAAAGTTGACAACAGACAGACAGACAAACAGACAAACAGATAAACAGACAAACAGATAAACAGACAAACAGACAGACAGGACAAAAACAATATACCCCCGGGATCTTTCGATCCGGGGGAATAAAAATCTTTGATTGGCCCCCATGAAAGAGAATTCTTTTAACTTCAAATTTTGTTTTAGAGTTGGGGTGGGGTTAGGGGTGGTGAATTAAGGTCCATTAGTGGGGGACCAGTCTTTCGATGAATATTTTTAGTCTAAATTAAAAGTAACAAGAGATGTTTGGAATTTTTCTAAGTTCAAGGAGCATAACTCTGTCAAAAATTGCTAGATTGTACCCAAAACAAAACTTGACCTAGATATTCTTATGATAAATCTGTATACCAGATTTCATTTCAGTATGTGCAACCTCTGCGAAGAAAATGAATGGAAACTGTTGGTGAACAGACAAACCAACCCACCGACCAACGGACAGCAGCAAAGCAATATGCCCTCCCTTCATCGAAGGGGGGCATAAAAATTTACATTCAGAAAAAAATGTTGGGGGGGAGGTCCCCTTCACCCACCCCAACCTTCCACAACCACAACCATCATATATTACATACAATATTATACATGTATTCTCTAATGTTATGTTCATCTGATTGGAAGTTGGTAGCAAGTGAAATAGCTTTCCAAAACTATTTGTATCAATTTGGAATTTTCCGATCTATTTTTAGACCAATGTAGAGGAAATGAATCCTTATATATTCACCTGGAAGGTCATGTGCAGGTGAATATAGCGTAGTATTTTTTCTACATTGTTAAATCTCAGCCAGTCAGAGAGATAGAAATCATTCAATCATAAAATAAATAGCTTAATATATTAAACTTCAGTACTAGATAAAAATATTAGTTTTCATGTTTTCCATCTATGTTTGAAGAATCCAAACTGTTTAGTAAGTGCAATCAATTAGAAATGTACTTACAATATTTTGATAAAACTTATACTTACATTTGTACATTTCATTAGCTTCATCATATGACATTTGACAGCTATTATTGATGAAATTGGTACAACGTGTATCCTCATAATTGGTTATCACACCATCATTGTCAGATAGAACAAAACAAAACCCTGCAAAGAAAAATAAAATCAATTGGAATCTGCAAAAAGACTAATTTCTAGATCTGATCTCAAATGAAAGGTATTTATGTGTAAATTTCAATTAAACAAAAACTGAATAAACCGAATGATCTGTTGTTATGTATTCTAAGTTGAATTTTTCATATATTCACATGTGTTCAATTAATTAAAAGAAACTTTGTTACTAATAGAATCTACAGCTTTGCATAAAAAATGTAAGACATACAGATTGTACATTAATATCCAAGGATTTTAGGAAAATCATTCTCAGTGTTGGAAAAATTGGCGGAAGTTGTGCAATTGACCACTGAAATGTCCATGAAATGGAATTATTTTTATTCCCCCGGATCCAAAGATCCCGGGGGTATATTGTTTTTGTCCTGTCTGTCTGTTTGTCTGTTTATCTGTTTGTCCGTTTGTCTGTTTGTCTGATTGTCCGTTTGTCCGTTTGTCTGTTTGTCTGTCTGTCTGTTGTCAACTTTAACCTTGCCCATAACTTTTGATTGGTTGGAGCTATGACTTTCATATTTCACATGTGTATTCTTGTGACAAGACCTTTCTTTGGTACCATCATATTTGACCTTTTTGACCCTGACCTTGGAGTTTGACCCACTTTTGCAAAATTTTATGAGACTTTAACCTTGGCCATAACTTCTGAACAGTTGGTGCTTAGGGTTTCAAACTTCACATGTGTATTCTGTGTGACAAGGCCTTCCTTTGGATACCAACAAGTTTGACCTTTTGTCCTTGACCTTGGAGTTTGAACTACTTTTGAAAAACTTTAACCTTGGCCATAACTTTTGAACAGTTGGTGCTTAGGGTTTCAAACTTCAAATGTGTATTCCTTGTGACAAGACCTTCCTCTGGATATCAACCACTTTGACCCTTTGACCTTGACCTAGGAGTTTGACCTACTTTCGAAAAACTTTAACCTTGGCCATAACTTTTGAATGGTTGGAGCTAGGGCTTTCATACTTCACAAATATATATAATCCTTGTGACAAGACCTTCCTTTGGATACCAACCACCACTTTGACCTTTTGACCTTGACCTAGGAGTTTGACCTACTTTTGAAAAACTTTAACCTTGGCCATAACTTTTGAATGAATGGTGCTAGGGCTTTCATACTTCACATATGTAATCCTTGTGACAAGATCTTCCTTTGGATACCAACCACTTTGACCTTGATCTTGACGTTTGTCTTTTATTTAAAAAACATCAACCTTCGCCATAACTTTTGAACAGTTGTACAGACCCTGAAACGTGCTTCTACCCCACACGCACGCTGCACGAACGGTACACGCTCGCTACACGGTTTGCACGAAACGCTGCACGGTTTACACGAAACGCTACACGGTTTGCACGAAACGCTACACGGTTTACACGAAACGCTTTGCACGAAAGGCTGCACGGTTTACATGAAAGCCTGCACGAAACGCTTTGTACATGTACGTTTCTCACACGCTTTGTACACGATTCTCGCACGCTTTGGCCTCGATCTGGATTTTCTATTCGGAATCTCTCGGACTTTATTTCAATTATTACGGATAAATCAACGAGTAGTTAAGAATTACAATCATTCAGATTAAGTTAAGATTAAAACTCGCTACACTAGTACTATATTAACAGATTAAATACTCAATGTTCAGTTGTAATTAATTAATAGTTGTCATTCAGTATGTGACCGCCCGGTGAAGTGCTTATCATCGTCAAACTTTTTTCACTAGACTCTAAATTACGCACTGAAAAAATATAATTATATTTGTCTTTCATCTTTAATCTTTTACAGCATTTAATGTTTTTACAATCATATTATGATATTAAAAAGTGCGTTTCATTCCTGACTTTATTACTGACAAATAAACTCAGTTTCACAGTTATATTTGAAAAAAAAAAAAAAAACACATTTTGATTAAATTGTGTATGATTTCTGTAAACGGATTGATTTTCTTTTCCATTATTTTTTATTATTGATTGATTTATACATTTTTTTGATTTAATAAAGAAAATAATTTCATTTGATTAAATTAGGCTCTGTATATAATTTGCAAATGTAATATGTACTCTGCATCAAACAGGAACATTGTGCAGCAAAGGGGGGGGGGGGGGGGGGTAGATTACCGAGATCTTACTGTTGTTTCTTCAAATCTGTACATGGCTAAATATAACGGGCACTTGTTTCAGTAAGTAAAAAAATCGGGAAAAAAATTATGATAGAAACAAGTGCCCATTCTAAGAAAAAAAAGATATTCATGTCTCCAGCGGGACCCGATACATGTAATTAATTAATATGCACTTTATTCAGAACGGTAAATATATCGCTTCATTACAGAGTTAAATTTTAATTTATCATTAAAATCTTATATGGTAGAGAAACCGGGGGATATGTATTGAAATTCTTTAGTTCTCTTTTCCGGTATTGTGTTTATCAAATATCAATATACCCACCACCTTTTAAAATCCTTGATTTCAAACCCCTTCTAGAAAAAAAAAAATCAATAATTATGTAATCAATAGTCGCGGCTCTTAACAATACATTCAATATATCCTATGTCCTAAAAACTAAAAAAAAAATATGCTCTAGAACTGCGTGATTAATATAAACAATTTATAAATAATTATATAGGATTTATTTCTTTATATTATTTTATTCACGAATACACTGCCAAATTAATTCACTGTTTACAAACAATCGGATAAATTTAAGAAATACAATCAACGGGTATTACCGTATAATTAACGATCGTTATTGTCAGATGTCATCTTAGCTATTATTGACAAGAGATAATAGCAGAACAAGTTTTCAGTCCCGGCACGCAGAGTCCGTGATCGCTGTTGTAAATGACCTTGATCACAGTCGTAAGAAGAGTGTTGAAAGTGTAAAGAAGATTCCAATATATCTTTAAGGGTGCATCGGGCGCACCGCATCGAAAAAGGAATAATTTTCTTACAAAAGAAAATTATCAATAAAACACTTGTTTACAACAAAAATTCAGTTTGTGTTTTCATTTGATCAACCCCCCACCCTGAAATATTTAACCTTGTATTTGCTGATGCATGTGAGTTATAATTCATTTATATGGCTTTTATTAATCAACCGATTTTATGCATAAAAAGACAATACATGAATCATCGTTTTCAAAATTATTTGTATCACAGAATCTTGTAATATAAGAAAAATATGTTCGTTTATAAAGAAAATCAATTAACTGTGCTCCTCGGCCTGGAATTCCTATACTTCACATTTATAGCAACGCACTAAATTTTGCATTTTATAAATATTTTTCACGACTGCCATACATGTATATCTATCTATTATTTTGTATTAATCACCGATATGTTCTTGTAATCTCTATATCCCATGCACAATTATGGTGAAGATTTTCAAATAAATGAATGAAAAGGACCAGACCGGATTCCTAATGAATTTTCTTTTAAAAAAATATTTAGTATTGCTCCCTTTAAAAAAATGTATTGAATCAATTACCTTAAAATTGATGTGCATATACATGTAATTAATTATTTTTAACACATTTTCTGTCCATCTTTATTTAAATAAATAAATAAAGTTTTAAGAAAATCAAACAAATATGTAATACATTACCGAATAATTTTATTTTGTTGTTTCCGTATTTTTTTTTTCACTCTTAAAATACCACCGGTATGATATATCTGAATAATATTAATTACAAACAACACAGAATGACATGTTAATCCAACAATAGCCATATTAAAAATAAATTTAAAGGACTTCCGAATGAATCCTACACGTTTCTCACACGATTCTTGCACGAAAATCGTACATTTCTCACACGGTTCTTATACGAAAGTCGCACGTTTCTCACACGCTTCTCGCACACTCGCTACACGGTTTGCACGAAACGCTTTGGAGCTTATACGAAACGCTGCACGGTTTACACGAAACGCTACACGGTTTGCACGAAACGCTGCACAGTTTACACGAAACGCTACACGGTTTGCACGAAACGAAAAGCGCACGAAAGTCACACGCTTTTTTGGGGTAGTAGCACGTTTCAGGGTCTGTATCTAGGTCTTTCAAATTTCATAGGTGTATTCCTCGAGACAAGACCTTTCTTTGGGTATCAGCATTTTTTATCTTTTGGCCTGGATTTTGACTTGCATTTGAAGAAACTTTAACCTTCGCCATAAGCTGCCATATGGGAGCATCAGTGTTTCACACTGGGGGTCATGATTTGAACAAACTTGAATCTACACTACCTGAGGATGATTCCATATAAGTTTCATGTTTTCCAGCAAGAAGAGTTTTAAAAGATGCCTTTAATTTTTTACAAATTTTTATTTATCTCCCCTTGGAAGAAGGTGTGGCCTTTTATTTGAACAAACTTGAATCTGCCTTACCCGAGGATATTTTGTGATAAGTTTGGTTGAAATTGGCCCAGTGGTTCTTGAGAGGAAGTCGAAAATGTGAAAAGTTTACAGACAGACATCAGACAAAATGTGATCAGAAAAGCTCATTGACTTCGGCACAGGTGAGTTAAAAAAAAAAACACAAAGCTTAACATCGGCATATTTTAAATACCAGTACTTCAACAAGTGCCAGATATTGTGCTTTCTTGAACTACATGTGTATTAATTCCTAGATTTTAAATCAGAAGTGAATATAATTGGGAAAAGGCCGATATTTAAACTCACCTGGACTCATTCTGACTCGATTTCTAGGGTAACAGAACTCCAGAAGCATGGTTTTATGTCTGTTTGGCATACAGTGGTATCGATTCTTTAAACCATCCTCAGGCTTGCTGCAGTTTAAATTTTCTGAGGCATTTTCCCATGCGTTCTTATCTAGTGGACAGCCCTCTAAGACTGGATATGCAGGGAAGTCTTTGTAGTTTATGGACAGCATTGGGTAGTCCTTAAATTAAAACCAGAGACCCTGTGAGCCTCCATGGTTTCCAGTGTCATTAAGTTAACAATAAATTGAATTCTTTATAATTGTAGCACAAAGGGATGTTTGCATAAACTTTTATACTTGATCTTTTTCTTTTAGCTCTGTGCTTTTTGAGCATTGAGAGGAATGAGAGATTTTTTCCTACACGCATAATAAGGAATCAGATATATTTTTAGTAAACTGGGACCAATATTTTAAAAAAAAAACTAGAATCTACTCTACATAAAATTGTATTAAATGTTTATAATTTTGAAAATTTGTTGGTCAAATCAGTTCTCTATAGATGAAAGCACCTAAGATTTTTAAAAGAATTTATTATTTCTTTCTTTTGTGAAAAAAATTGTCCCTATCACTACATTTATCGGCATAATCAGGGAAACATACATATATGTACATGTATGTTATATAAAGGCTGGCTTTTTATTTCTGACAAATAATTAATTAAATTTTTTAATGCAATGGTCCTTTATTTTTAGCTATATACATACCAGTACTAGTACAATATGACAGAACCCCAACAGTAGAATATACACTGCTTGTTGTATCATCAAGTTCATTTTTGCTGCAACGTACCCCCTGGAAAAAAGTCACAGTATTATCATGATTATATGTATACATGTACAGTCAAACCTTGTTACCTCGAACTTGATTGGACCAAGGGAAAACTTTTAGATGTGCTTGGGTTTGAGATATTGAAGGTAAAATACATGATAGTGGAAAATGGGTTGGACATTAGTGCTCTCTTGATCCAAATGTTTTCAACATATCCATGGACTATTTGAGAATTTATATTGATATCTGATATATATATATATATATATATATATATATATATATATATATATATATATATATATATATATATATATATATATATATATGGCAAAGTAATTCAGCTGTATACATTTAATTATTTGGGTCAATGAATTGAATAGAGCAAACACATGGAAAAATTTTAAATTATTAGGCATAGGACCACACGAGTATATACAAAAACATTAATTCTAAAGGACAAGGTATGGTAATGGCCGAATCTGGCCCCTTATTTGATGTAAAAATCGGAACACAGTTAAAATTGTGATAGTTTGTTGTTAGGAACTTAAAATGATGCTTGTTTTAAAACCAGCACTAATTTTGATTTAAAGCTTACATGAAGGCCACAAGAGGGTGCAGAAATAGGCCAATTTCCCGAATTTTCTCAATTCTGGTGGAATTTCGTTAATTTTGAGATACTTTTCACTTCGGGAAACATAGAGCACAAGCTTGCCTATCTGAGATTTTTATACATATGATGCATCTGATGCTAGTGTATGAAATATATAATTTTGGCAGATAGGCAAGCTTGTGCTCTTTGTTTTCTGAAACAAAATGTGTTTTAAAATCAAAATTTGCATAAAAATGAGAAAATTCGGAAAATGGCATATTTCCTGACCTGGTTCTGTGACCTCTGTTTATCCCATAACTTAGAACCAATACTTATTTTGTGGCAGGGGTGACAACAGGTTTTTTATTGATAAATTGTTGCATCATTCTAAATGACACCCCAAACCAGGGGCCAAAAAAGGGTCTTAGCCTACCTTGTCCTTTATATGCAATCATCATGATCATCTTATAATATAGATTAATTTGTATATCCATAAATATATTGCATGATCGTTACCCTGTACAGATTATTAACTGAAGTGTAGCAGCCAGGAACTCTCAACACCCTGAAATTCAAAACCAATATTATTACAGCTGTATTATATATTATTCTAGCACTTAAATCTTAATTTATGTAAACCATGAGTTACCTCAAATATTGCGACTCTACGTTGTTAGCCAGCTATATGTAACCGTTGTCATCTTGGTTTCGTCTGATTCATCATGCCACAATCAAGATTTTCATCTACAAGAAATGTCAAGGCCCTACTAACTTAAATGCTTCCGAACGAAGAACGTTTAACCTTTTTTCTACTTTCGTTTTAAAATGCATTCAATAAGTTATCTTCCTTGTTACAGTCCAGTCAATTTATCATAAAACATCAAACACAATTTCTTTTTTTTATAGATTAACTCCAGAATTCACAAAATAAATGTAATAAAAAAAATCTAATTATAACAGGATCAGATGATGGGAAAGTTTTCTATGAAAATTACCATATAGGGAAGGAGCATAACTCTTGTCAATTTAGTCTTGGGTCTTGGTTTATAAATATGTATGTGCCTTATTGATATGACGGTAAAAAAAGTATACTTTTTTTTACATATCAATAAGGTACATACATATTTATAAACCAAGACCCAAGTACCTGTGAATTTAGTAGATTTTTTCAACCTTGAACCACAGGTGCTTGTGGACAGGATATCCCCCCCCCCAATATGGGTCCAGGGATATTTTTATTCGTTTTTCCCCCCATGAATTAATCTTCCAGTACACATTTACAATGTATTCCATATGAAAAATCCAAAAAATAACGTAGAATTAATGTTTTATTAAAAAATCATACCCGCGGTATTATAAAATATCTATTAACTGTAAACTTGTAAAGATGCAGTAAAACCTTATACCCAGAGACATATAACAGAGGGTCTGTTATATGTCTCTGCTTATACCTAAGGATTTTTTTTTTTTTTTTTTTTTTTTTTTTTTTTTTTTTACAGATGTTTATAGTCTCACTTCGGAGTGATGTTGCATTTCCTTGCCTCACTGATCCATAATAATAGTTATCAAAAATAGCTAGTTCAAAAGTCTCTAAATCGTTTTATTTAGTATTTATGTACTACTGGTAAATGTCAAATGAAATTATTCTTGCTTTTTTAAATCGTAATACAGAGAATTTTCCCCCCTTTTTTAAATTCTGCTATCACGATCAATGAAAAAAGCTTATTTTTCGAAACAGATTTTTTTTAAATATATGTCTCTGTTCGAAATTAACAAAAATAAAATAAAATAAAATTCAAAATAGATCTATCAATTTCAAATTTATATATACTATCTACATGTTTGTGTAATATAATGATTATTAAAATATATATATCGAAAAAGTTTAAACCATGCAGATTACCTTTACATGACAAACAGGAATTTTCAGGTATGAAAATACCTCCTTTCCTTGTTTTAAACATATTTTATTAAAGGGATTGGAATTAAACAAGTTCCACATACATGTACAAAAAATCTGAATAGCTATACATACAACATTCACAAAGATTTACAATAATATACATATGTACAAAGAATAATAACATATGAAGATAACGAATAGTATTAAAACCAAGAGCTCAAAAGTCCATTGAAACAACAAATGAAATCTTTTTCTAGTGATTTATCCAAATATGAAACAGATGTGCCAGACTCTCACTGTGGTATCTTTTATTTCGAGTTTAAAAGATATATCTACGGAAGACCATTTAGGACCTATCAAAAACTATTTTTTTTGGAATTCGATATAACAAATTATCAAATTTGTTAACGAATTGAATTTGTTATGTCACTTTTTCAATTTGTTTTATTAAAAATTTTAATCTGTTATATCAAATTTGTTGAGTTCGTTAATCACTATAACGAATTTCTTATGATTTTTTTTTATAACGAGAAAAAAAATCCTTTTTTAAATGAATTCTCAAATTTGTTATTAACGAATTAAATTCGTTTAAACGAATTCGATAATTCGTTATATATCGAATTCATAATATTTTTTTCTAAAGGTCCTAAATATCGAATTCAATTAAACTAATTTAATTCGTTATAACACATTTAAGAATTCGTTTAAACGAATTTAATTCCCTTTGACAAATTTTGGAATTCCTCTAAAGAATTTTATCTATCATAACATTTTATATTTTTATATTATAACGACAAATCTGTTATAACAAATTAAACTCGTTATAAAGAATTCAAAAAAAATGTTATATCGAATTAAATTCGTTATCCGATAATTCCGTATATTGAAATCAAATATATTTTTTTAAATTTGTCATGACGAAATAAGTTCGTTTAAACGAATTTGACAATTTGCTGTATCGAATTAATTTATATTTTTCAATACGCACTAAAAATCAAATTCGATTAAAGGAATTTAATTCGTTATAACAAATTTAAGAATTCTTTTTAGTGAATTTAATTCCGAGTCCTTAAAACAAATTTAAGAATTCGTTTAAACGAATTTAATCTGTTATAACAAATTTTTGAATTCGTTATAACGAATTCAACAAATCTATTAATTATTATAATTTGTTATAACTAATTCAAAAAATTGTCCGGTGTAGTTTTGGGAAGTCCCATTAACGCTACTGATATTTTCATTATTTTCAATGATCAGTCTCAGCTGCTTTGAAATGTGGAACTTAATATTCAGCTTTCTTTGTTAAAAGCTCCAAACTTTTAAACTAAGAATCGTAGAAACATAAATATTTAAAATACATGTACCTACAGTGTAGCTGACCTGTACGGAAGCCCAATAAGGACCTATCAAAAATATTTTTGTATTCGATATAACGAATTGTCGAAATTGTTATAACGAATTTAATTCGTTATAAAAATTTCTGTGAATACGTTATAACGAATTTAATCTGTTATAACAAATTTATTGAATTCGTTATAACGAATTCTAAAATTTGTCATAACAAATTGAATTCGTTTAAACGAATTCTAAAATTTGTTATAACGAATTAAGTACGTTCAATCAAACTCAACAATTCGTTATAACAAGTTTGATTCGTTATAACAAATTTTTGAATTTGTTATAACGAATTCAACAAATTTGTTATAACAGATTGAATTCGTTATAACGAATTCAAAGAAGTTGTTATAACGAATTAAATTCGTTATAACAAGTTCGACAATTCGTTATATCGAATTCAGAATTATTTTTTGATAGGTCCTAAATGGCTTCCGTAGACCTGCGTTGGAACAACTGACAATAGAGGTTGTCAAGGTCAAAGGTCAATGTAAAGCATGT